GGCCGTGAGCGAGGGCGTCTTGGACAGCCGGGTCGGCGATGCGAGGCCCCCCTGGGCCATCTTGGGGTTTTGATGTTCCAACCTACTTTAGCCTTGGCCACCAGAAATAATTTCGAGCGCCCCAACAAAGTGCTGAAACTCGAGGGTTTTCACGTGTCGGGCCCTGGGAAACACTCGCCCGACACTGTTTCGACACTGTCTCGACACTCTCGTGACAGTTTTTCCGGGTGCTCGAAATTATTTCTGGGATGTGATCTTCAAGTAGGATGGGAGCAGCATAATCTTCGGGGCCTCTTCGGGCACTCCTGGGGTCCGCCCCGTGGCTCCCCTGGAGCCCTGGACCCCCTGGGCGGGCGGCGCACTTTCTCGGGCGACCGCAGCACACGGATCAAGGTGAAGTCGGGCTTGTCTCTCTACAGGAGGAATATCCAAAATTAGTATAAGAATAGTCAGGGGACGATTTTGTTGTTGCCGTTTTTGGTGTATCTTTTGACCATGTTTTGAGTATTTTTTATTTTTCGTCGAGAATCCGTCTGTAGAGGGACAGGCCCGACTTAAGATCAAGGGGGCGTGGCTTTGCGACGGGTCCCGTTTCCATGGGAAGTCGCGGATTCCCGCCGCCGACCGGGACAGCACCGGCGGCATTTTTTGAGGAGGGCGCCTCCCCCGATCCGTGGATTCGGCGACCGCCAGATCTCGGGATCGCTGATCCATGTTTGCGCGCCCCTGATATTTGGGTGCCGACCCCCCCCTGGACCCCCCCGGGGGAGTCGCATTTGGGTGGCGACCCCTCTCCGGACCGGCCCCCCACCCCCGACGGGGGAGGGATCAAAAGGACGGGGCTTCCCTTCGATGACGTTACCATGGCTGGCGCGCTCGAGAAGGAGGGCCCAGGAAAAGGGGAGGAGGGGCGACGGGCCCAGGAAAATGGGGGCCGCAGGGAAAGGAGCCAGCAGCGACGACGACTAACGCATGACAAAGAGGACGACTCGAACGGACAAGCCCATCACACACGCCGACACTACGCCGCTGGTTTTTTGACGAGTCGTGGGGGAGGCCCTCGTCGCAACGGCTGGATTGGCATCGAAGTTCTGGTCAGCATCGATGCATCGCCGTCGCCGACGCATCGGTGATGTATCGACGATGCGACGCGATCCCCCGGCCTCAACTACTCTGACCCCATATGAGCGGCCTCTAATCATCGGAGGTGGACAGAACCCCTACCCAAACACATCGAGTGGTGAATTGTCCGTGTTCGGTTCCCTAGACCTTAGAGGGCGCCGCGGCCGTCATTTTCCAGACTTGCCCCTGTCAGGTTTGGGCCCGAGATCGTTTACAATAAACCACGTTTGACTAAAGGGGGTTCTGTCCATCCCCAGAATCATGTGAGCGACGCTGAAAGCGGGGTAGTTTTTCATCGTCATTGGCGCGTGAGCTGCCGGCGCAGGGCCACGCGTGAGCCCTTTCTTTTCCGCGCGGTGTGCCACGCTGGTGGCCTGCCTAACCCGCGGCGTCAGGTCGCTACCCATAGTGCGTGAGACCCGTTTCTGTTCGTCGCTCATGTCTTGGAGGTCTGCTCTAATTTCTTGGATCGGCGATGGGCTTGTGGACGACGATCAATGGAGAGGAAGCATGTTGCCAAATTCATTCCATATGTCAAAGACACATTTTAAGCATGTCTTTCACGTGCAAGAACATGTTTATATCATTTACACAATCAAACCTTCGACGCATACTTTAAATTCGATTATCGGATTGTTAGAGTGTCCATTGTCATGGCATCCACAACCGTTTCTGTTCGTCCCTCGTTTCTTGGAGGTTTCCTCGACTTTCTTGTATCGGCGTTGGGCCCCCCTCGCGCGGCGCCTCCGGCGCCGCCCCTGGCGCACACCGCGCGCCAGGGGAGGGGTCCAGAGCCGATGCGGCGCGGACCTCGAGAAGTTCTATTTACGCAGATTCGCACGTCTCCCAACATCGCGACAAATCACTACCACAGAGCCCGAGGCCCGACCTTGTTGATGCACTTTTCTGGCGGGATCGATCCGTGAGGGTCCAGGGGTTCGACGCTTGCCGAAAGCGCCTGGTGCTGCAGACCTGGCAGCGCCCGAGATTCGGGGTTCGTAGCCGTGTTGGCTCGAGCAGCGGCTCGGCTGCCCCTGGCGTGGCGGCGCCCACGCACAGTCGCGGGTACACACGCAGGGATGCCGCTGCGGCATGTGGTGATGCTGAAGCTCAAGCCGGAGAGGACTGTGGAGCAGGTGGCTGCGCTTGAGCAGGGGCTGGCGGGGCTTCCGGCTGCGATCCCGGAGATCGTTGCTTATGTCGGTGGATCGAACGCGTTGTGAACGAAGATGTGTCGCCACGGGCCCATGCTGGTTGGCCATGCGGGCACTGAGGCTCGAATCACCCAGCCGTTCTGGGCCGTGCGCTATCCACGGCGGCACTCTTCGTTTCACACCGTTCTTCGGCTGCCGATCGTAACTTTGGGCCGGACGCCGGCCTGGACCCAGAGCGGAACCACGACTTCGCCATCGTCGCGGACTTCGATTCGGAGGCGGCGTACAAGATTTACGCATCCCGGGTCACGCGAAAGGGGGGGGATGGGAAAGGGAGGAGTTGCGAATTCTGCTGCGTGCAGCTGGTGTCGGCTCTGCCGCGAGGCCCGCCTCAACTGCCGCGCGGCGCCGAGGAGACCAGCTGCGTGAGCAGAGTCGCCCACCCCCCCTTTGTGGGCGTGTCATATTTATAGTTTTGCCGATCGGCGCGGGCCCTCGCACCCCCCCCTCCCCCCCCCGTGGAGTAGATCTTGGCTGTTTGGGGCGCCTGTTTCGAGCAGTGAGGTCCAGAGCCAGACCCCCCTCTCTCCCCTCCCCCCCCGCCCACTGACGAAACGCCGAATAAGAAACACAGACTACTATCCCCCCGCCTTCGTTCCACCCGAGCATCCCACCCCGCGCATCAGAAGCTCATCCAGGAGCTGATCAAGCCCGTCCTGGCCCCCGGGGGGCGAGCCGCTGTGCAGTTCCATCTCGGGAGAGAGAATGCGTATCAAGGACAATCGCGCGCCGTTTTCCAGGTTGCGCGTTCTAGTTGCTCGTGGTCTGCTATTTGTGTAAACGCCCGACATCCGACAACATGTTTTGCCAGTGCAGTCCTGACCCATTCCCCAGGTGCAGTTATTCACTTCGGATCCATATTTGGTGGTACGGGGACCCAGTAATAGGTCCCATGAGGCCGAGATCGAGGAGACACGCCCAGACTGGAAAAATATTCCGTCGGAGATTTGGTAGTTTGCGGCATCTCTTCAACAGTAACTAACACGCTTATGGGATCGCCCGACCAGCGTGACTCATAAACGTGCTAACCAGTCCGTACAAGCCAGTCGTTTGATACTAGATGTCCCGATTGTCTCATGCAAATATGCTGCCTGGTTTGTGGCTGACCAGTCTGTGCGCTCTCACGGACGACATTTGAGCGATCTCATCGTCATGGATGCGATCACCAATCAAACAAGCCGATTACGGCGCAGTTTTTTAACGTTTTCTTTTGGTTTTGGTTATCCGGTCTGTGTTGACCGATTTTTGCGCGTTCGAGTGGCATGAACACCAATTCTGTTCTCCTGACCAGCACGGCCCCGCGCCTGGTGCGACGGCCGGGGCGCTCGAGGCACTGAAGCCGTTCAGGGCCAAGCTTGCTACGGGCCAGGCCGTGTTCGCGGACACCCTGGCGCTCGCTTCGGAGCACTTTGAGTATACCCCCAGGCTCAGGGTATGAGAGGAGGAGGAGAAGGTACCGACACCGCTACCCCTCACTTGTCTCAACGACTCGACTCGCTTCGGAATTCTGACAGCAACGCTCCCCGGGGGAGGTCTGGGGAGCTAGCGATCCGAGTACCAGCATTGGTATCAATACCTTTTTTGGTTCCCCCGCAGTAGAGGACAGAGAGAGTAGAGAGCCAGATAGGGAGTAGAGAGTCGAGGGTCAAACAAATGCCACGCGGGCAGGCGTGGCACGGAACATGTTGAAATCCAGTGAATGCCTCTTCTCTTGGGTGGGACCTGGTTTTCGATGTCTTGGGCCCCCAAGAAGGCCCTCGTGGCCACGGGGATTCGCCTCGAAAGCCTGGCCAGACCGCACCCCAACAGAGGTCGGGAGGACCAGCGATTCATTCCCCAGGCGTTTCTACAACGGCGGCACGGACAACGCCGCCGGCACCAACGAGGGGAGCTGCAAGGCGTTCTCCCTCGGGAGGCTGACCTCTTCTCCTCCTCCCCTCCTCCTCCGCCTCCTTCCTCCTCTTCCCCCTCAATCCATGAGTCAGCAAAAACGCAGTGAAGTTCGCAGCCTGTAGAGGATCGAGCCGAAACGGACACAGGACAGCAGGGAGAAGTGTCTAACCATGTACTGAGGGGACGAGGGAGGCCGAGATTTGCAAAGCCCAAGCCCCCAAAAGGAGGTTTCGGGGAGTAGGGTCACGTCGCCTCACCCCGTGCGCCACGCAATCGGTACTACTGTGGAACTGAATGCAGGGGATCGAGCGGCACAGACAATGGCTTGGCCCAACACACAGCATGGACATAAGCCAGAATGGCAGCAACGAGTATGCGACGCATCTGCCCAGGATCAGCTTTGGCCGCCGACGTGCTCCACCCACCTCCTGTGCGAAACACTTGCAAGGACAGGTGCGCATGCTTGCCCCCGCACGCATCCTTGCGCGGGTGACAACCCACAATGCTTCGAATGCCAGGACAGTGGACCGCAAGACGCCTCTTTGTGTTTCTCCTCGCACTGGACCCGAACTGGCGTTGGTCGACATCGGCCGCGTATCCACCCCTGGCGCCCGCGCGAGTTTCCGGACTCGGGCCTGGGCGCAGGATGTTCTCTGATGCGGGGCGCGCCAATACCCCAGCAGGGTACCTTCCTGGCGCGGAGGGGGCCGACGTCCCACTCCAGTTGCCTCGGTCGCTGGCCCGCGAGGGGGGGGGAGGCCCCGCGGGGACGGGAGGGCGAGGCGGGGGCGAGGAGGCCGAGCGGTGCTCTCAGCGGGAAGGTGCCTGGCGGCCCTCCGCGTCTCGCAAAAAGGGGGCCCTCCCGTGACAGTTGCTCGGTATCGCTCGGGCGCGGGCAGTTTGTCTCGGCGGGGGCTATTCCGGAGATTCCTGGATCACCCTGCGAGAACCAGCCGCGCACGCAACCGAACAAAAGCACAGGGAATGGACGTCCGAGCGATGGCCAGGTTAAGAGATGGCCGACCCTCATCAGGTCGCACCAGAGGCTTATGGCTACATCGCACGTGAGATCCCCCCTTGTGGGTGTGAGCCGCGTCGGTGCTGAACACGTGCGCTCGCATGGGATGTCTCATCGTCAGGTCTTGCAAGTGACCCTGGAAGACCTCGCTGCGGCGATGGCCAGATAAGAGATGACGCACACTGCCAGCGGGCAGGGAGGGTGGCAAGGCAGGGGAACGGAACGAGCTGGGGCACAGGAGCCACCGAATATCAACGCAAGGGACATCGATCGCGAGCTCAGGGGGGGTTCCGCGACAGGGGGGATAGCACCACGGCGGGAGTCCATCGGGCGGGGCGGGCCGCACAGTTATCTTGCACACCTTTGCTTCGGCTATTCTGCTGCAAAGTGCGCCGGTGCAAAAGTTGCGCATTGGGCGCCGAATACTCGCCCCTCAGGCGCAGCGTTTGCATCGTCTGCGTTGCCTCGAACTGTGACCTCTCAGTTTTTTCTGCGCAGTGGCAGTGGGGCAACCGCAACCGCAGGACGCAATGAGCAGGGTTGGGGGGCACTGTGATTCGGGAAGCAATGGCGTCGAGCTCTTTGCCCCACGCGCGCTTCTTAGCACCGCGCTCTCTGGCGAGACGCATGAGCCAAACTGGCGCTATCCTTCGGGCCGCACTCTGCGGCCAGTTCTGTCGCGAAGCCATTCGGTTTCAGGGGCTGAGATATGCCCCCCTGGCCCCTTTCTGTTTCCGTGTGGGACCAGTGAGAAGGCGAAGCATGGGCGAGCCAATGGCAGGGGGCGCCTCGCGAACAAGAAAGTGACGCTGTATGATCGAATCGATCTGCACGCAGAGGTGCCCTTCGGACAAGATGGAACGTTTGGATCTGACCTGGCCGGCCCTGGGCGTGGCGCGAGCGGCGTGGTTGACGGTTTCGTGGGCACCCCTAACCCATGGCGCGAGACAAGTCGCCCGCGCCGTCCACGCGGCAGCCGGGCGGAGACGAACGGGCGCACAGGGTTTCAGAATGGGCGGCTCTGGCTCTCGCCGAGAGAGGAATGCGCGCGCCCGCGAGTGCCCCGACAGGCGGGAGAACGCCGCGAGCACCGCGAGCGCTGGCAGCACCTTCGGAAGACATGGCTCCATCTCGAATGGTCCTGCGGAGCGACGCGCACTTATCACGGCGAACTTGCGCGCCCCAGCGAGGGGGGGCTGTCGGGCGCGTCGCAAGAGGAGAGCTGAAGGGCGAGAGCCTTTGATCCTGCTGCGCCTGAACTCTAGCGTTGCGCCAGATGTTGCGCTCGCGCAGTTTCATGGCCAAGCGAGAGACACATTTGCAGACAATGTCGATTGTAAGCTGCGCAGCGCTGATGAGGTCCGCTCCGTCGGCGCCGGCGCTCGCGAGAGTCGCATCGTCGACGGCAGGAGTCGAGGGCGCGGCCCGATCGAGACCCCCCGGGCGCGCAATCTCACGCGCGCGCTCGCCCCACCACTGCGCTTTTGAAACGAGCGCCCCTCTTCGACCCTGGAGCGCGAGCCAGCGCGAGGTCCTCCGCGACCATCTCCCCCCTCAACTCCCAGAAAGCCCCGGGCTGACTTTCCCAGCCAATGACGCGGATAAGTTCGAAACCAGGTCTTTGCGCAAGCACCCCAGCATTTCCCTTTTAAAAAATGCGCTCCGCCTCGGCAAGGACGCGCGGGGTTGGGCGCCCTTGAGTGGCGTCGCCGATGTTTCCCGCGCCCCCGGGGAGGTACATGCGCTGCGTGAGCGTGCGTATATATATATATATACGCACACGCATATACATGTCAACATTGGCGAATGACACGGTGCCGAAACATTCGCGACGCCAAGTAACATAGCACGGTCATTAATTCTGTTTGGCGGCAGCGCCCTGGGCCGTGCGGGCAGTTCCGCGCGCCGCGAGCGGAGCAGCGCAGCGCGCAGGCAGGAGAGAAACTTGCCGCGGCGGAGCGCGCGATGCATCTTGCCAATGACTCTCGCTTCGCGGATGCGCCTTTGCTGCTCGGCCAGGGGGGGTTCTTCCGAAACCTTGCGAAACCAAACCGCGCGCCCACGTTCAAAGCCAGCGCGCTCTCGCCAACGGGGGCCTTGCACCGCGCGGGCGGAGACATCCGGGACACTTGGGTGGGGCGCGTCGAGAATGGGGGGCGCGCGCAGTTGACATCCTGAGGGTCGGTGGCAATGCTTCCTGGCAGGCGGCCCCGCGGGGTCCTTCGCGCCGCGCCGGGGCGCGGGCGGTCTTGGCCGACGGTTTCCTCATAGGATCAGTCTTGGTCGCGCGACCCCCTGGGCCCTCCTCGAGGCGCCTCGCGCGGCCAGTCAGGGGGCCCGACCCCGTGTCTTCGTTGCGTCGGGCAAATGAGGTGGCCCGACGGTCGCGCCCGGAAGCGCTCCCCCCCCCCCCCCCGCGCCCCCCGCAGGCCGGAAGGGGGGCGCAATGGGCGCGAGACATGGAGCGGGTGCAGAAAAGAAAGCGAGATAGATGTTTCCAGCAGACCAAACGGGGAGGAGTTGAATTCGCTCGGCCAACCGTCAGCATTCGAACGCTGCACAAGTTCGACATGCCCGACATGTTTCTGCCTGTGAGCAGGGGCCTCGCTTTCTCAGCATTGGGGGGCGCCGCCGGCGTCACCCGCGAAAGCCGCGTTAGTTTTCTGGCCTGACCTCCACGTCGTCAGAGATGGCTCAGCTTTCCCAGTGTGTCCTATTCGTTTTGACACCAGATGCAATGGCGGCCTGTTGACCGACGTTCTCATTGTAAAAACTTTTCGTTGTCGGGCTCCGGGCCAACATCGGTCTAGACTGGCTGAGAAAGCAACGGTGAAGTTGGCAGTCTTGCCAGTCGGACCCCCATCTGAGGAGTTGCTTGGCAGGTCGTTGCGTGTCATTTGCGGGTCACCCAGGACGGCGGTGGCCGACCGAGACCCCAGGGGAGATCCCCCCAAGGCAGCGCCGCATTAGTTTTTTTTTTGGGGGGGGGGCGCGCCCTGAGGGGGGTTGGAGGGAGTGGCGACCTTGCGCGGCATTCCCGATGGCACCACGCGTGGCATAGACAGGGACAAGCAAAGGAACAATCAGGAACGGCGCTTGCGGGCCCAGTTGCGCCGCGCATAGGAACGCGGCCATGCGCGGCGTTGACCTGGGCGACAGCGGCGGCCATTCGCCCGGAGGTCGGGCGATCCAGGGGGGCCAGGGGGACCTCAAGGCTCTCGCGAACGATTTGTTTTCAAGATCCTGCATGACACAGCGTCCAGTCGCGTGTGCGCAGGAACGTTGTTGGTAGAAGAGGTTAAATGCTGACGAGAAGCGGGCGGCGATTTCTTGACGAGGATATTTTGTCAATGTGTTCCAGGCAGCGACGTCCTTGGCCCGAGAAGTAAGCGTCCATGGCTTGCAGACACTATCGATGCGAAGTGCTCGAAGCAGCGCTAATCACATACATAGCATACCCGTTGCCATGCACGGTGTTGCCGGCGCACAATTCAGTCGGTTTAGTCGCTCTTGGAGGCGTCCCCCATGATATTATACTCCTGCGCAAAGTCAGAGTCCCCGGCAAAGCGACTGGTTCCGAACCGAGCAGGCATTTGCGCCGATCAGCAAACTAAGTGCCCATCCAGAGATGATGCCCACAGGAGTTCCTTCGAGCAGGGAAATGGACAGCACCCAGAGGAAGGGTCCCTCTAGGAGCGCTCGTGGGGCATGTGTGTACGCTTTTGGGGCCGTCTTGGAGCTCTGTTGGGTTTCTCTTGGGGCCTTCCGGTCATCTTGAGGCCTTGAAAGGCCATCGAAAGCACATCGGCAAGAAGGCAACACTCATTGATGTTCACCCAGGGATTTTTTACAAGGACGTTGGCATCTTGGGGGCGTCCGTGGAAGGCTCCGCGGCAACTTGTGGCAGTTTTGGAGCAGGCTTGGGGCCTCTCGGAGGACCTTGGGAACCATCGAGCGTCCTGGGGGCCTGGTGGCGGTCCCAGGAGTTTCTTTGAGCGTCTTGGGTGCCTCGGAAAGCCTCTGGGGGCCTCGTTGGGTTTTTTTGGGGGGCCTTTTGGGGGCCTCTTGGGCGCCTCTCGGAGCCTCCTGGGCGCCTCTTGGGACCCTCTTGAGGCGCTCTCGGGAGCCTTGGGGACGCTAGTGGGGCCATCTTGGAGGAGATCGATCAACGCAGATGGGAGCTTGAATTACGTTCCCACCTCGGGAGCCCCACAGATCTCAGAACGTGAATTACCTACCCTGCTTTCGCTTCCAGGCAAAACCAAGCCATACCACGCGCCTCCTCGTCAAGCGGCCTGACCAGTACAGGCTGCAATTTGGCATCGTTTGGTATCTCTTGGAAGCGAGGGCGGTCAAAAGCGAGGTAGGTTTGTTTTCCCGCTGGCATCGCCTCTTGGGCCCCACTCGGTGCGCTTTGGGAACGCTTCTGGGCGCCACTGGGGCCGTCTGGGTGCTCTCTTGGGCCTCTCTCGGGGCCCGCGCGGGCCCTCGCGGAGCCGTCTCTAGGCTTCGGAAAAAAGGCCATCGGAAGCGAAAGGGCGAGAAGGTACAGTCGGGGCCCTGAAGAAGGAACCCTTTTCGTTGGGGAGGGGCTCCGTGCTTCTTGATTGCATCACAGTTTGCCTTGGGTTTTCCTTTGGTTTTCGATGGGAGATCGGAGTTTAGCTTGTGGGGAAAAAGGGGCCCCGTTCCTTATTTATAGTTCCTTGGGTCAACGCCCCGACTATACAATTCATTCATGTTCTATGGTTGTTGATGGATTTGGGCCTCTTCGCGGCCTCTTGGAGTGACTCCGTTCGGGGGAGCGTAAGACCCGGGTTTGCCAGGACTCGGGTTCGCCATCGTTTTTGACGACCGCGATTAGGATTTTGACGAGTAGGAGTTTCGTGGGATGTCTGCAGCGGGAGGCCTCGTCAAAATGCAGGCTCGGCCTCGTCATTTTTGTTGACGACCTCGTCGGGGATTTCCGAGTCCCTGTACCCGGGTCTTACGCCCCCCTGATCCGTGGTCACTCGGCGCCGTCTTGGAGAGGTGTTGGGCCATCTTGGGTTGTGTTGGGCCATATTGGAAGTCACCTTGGGCTCTCTGAGGCCCTCCTGGAGCCATCTTGGGTCATCCTAGACTCCCAACGACCCGCGACCCCACCCCTACAGGTCCAGGAGAGGGGGCAAGGGGAAGGGATGAACCCTTCCCCGAAGGGGAAGAGGGAGGGGTGGAAGAGGAAATGCGCTAGACCACCCACCCCCAGAGGGCTGGTGGGATCTAGGCCCCCTTATTCTTAGAGCCGGGAGACATGGGTCACGCAAGCTTTCATCTCCATTCCAGGGCATGAGCGTTCGCAGCAAGGGGCCTGGGAGTCTTCAGAAGCACCCTTGCGTGACCGGGTTAAACAGAAAAGGTCAGGACCTATGGGTTGGCCATCGATTTGATCCAGCTTCTTCCACAGCTCGACTCCCGCGGCATGGTCCTGATGCCCATGGTAGATGTCACGTTCGTGGCAGCTATGTTTCCCATCTGTGCACCTGTGCACCCACAATCCACGACCCCGCTCTTTTGAATTTATATCGCGTGAGATGGGCCGCGTGCTCTTGACTTTAGCAATAGATGACCTCTTCTGAGAAAGGGTAATGGAGCTGTCTGAGTTCCGCGGAGGGCAAGACGACGGCCTCCACCTTGGCTTCAAGGGAGGGGGCAGGAGCAGTCAGGAAGGCCCAGGGTTGACCCTTGCGACCAGCTTCAAAAACATGATATACGCAGTTCATTAGATGTGTCGAAGGCAGTGAGAGCCACCAGATTTCGGCGAAAGGTCGGCCCCATAAACTTCTGCAGCATGGTAGCATTGTCATCGAGGATATTCTAGGCCCGCATGGCTGTGCGCGTTCGAAATTCTAACCAGGGTGAGGGCCCGAGCTTTCTGCAGCAGACAAGACCGACCTGGAAATCTGCTTTTTCATTATGCTTCCAGAGCGACCTTCGAGAACATCGGCCGCGTCAAGGCTGCCGGGTCAACTGTGGATCGGAGGAGGGTTGGGTTGAGAGATGGCGGCCAGAAGGGCCCGCGAGATGCCGAGGGCGCCGAGGAATTCGAATTCCAAATCCGCGTCGCCGGGATGGGGAGGGCGCAGCAAGAGAATCTCGGGGTCGAAGCTAGAGTCGCTCTCTAGGAGTGCGCCTCTCCGGTCAGCCCTGACAAGCACAGGCTCCCAGCTGGCATTAGAGTCGTCTTTAGGGTCAATGGATGGCGCATGCGCTGCTCGCTCCAGTTGCCAATCGTGGGCGGGCAAGATTGCAAAGCCTAGCTGCTAGCAGGGGCTTTCAGATCTGGGAGGTTACCGAAGCGCCAGTCGACCCTGGCAGCGATCACTGGGAGTGGGGACTGGTGTAAAGGCCAGGGCGCGAGGGCGATGGCCAGGCGAGAGAGGTGGAGGAGGATCTTTATCCGAGTGGGGCTCGCGGTGCTGAACTGCGATTGGGGGTCTCATGCCCCGAGCCACTGCCAGAGCGACCTTGAATTTCGACATCCGCCCCTGGAGGAATGATCTCCAGATTGTTGGCTGAAGTGGGCAGGTCTTGCTGGCCACTACTGGAGTGAAGGGAGCGCGGATTCATTGAAACTCGCTTGATCCTTTTTCTCACCGCTAATGCCGTGCCTCTCGTGGCGCACGGTAAGCAAGGTTCCCTCAGCGGGGACGATCAGCTCGTCTAGGTTGAGCTGAATAGCATGAGTGTCAGGTATTCGGATTCTTAGGCATGCGAGATGGTTGCCCATGCGGCACCGGCAGAGCGCAGTTACAGAAGAGGCCCATGCCAAGAAACACCATGCTTGCCTCAAGGGTGCCTTGGGTTTCGTGGGTTTCGATGGTTTTGCTATGGGAAGCGTGACGTTCCCACGCGAAAAGCCAATGGGCGTCTTGGGGTCTCAGGGTTGGGTTTCTTGTGGGAGGTTTCTTGTGGTAGATTCCCTATTGCATCATTGCGGGCCCTGAAATTGTCGACAGCATCAGGCACGCATGCTTGAACATGCGAGTAGACGAAAGCCCATGGCTGCAAGAGAAAGCTGCTGTCATCTGATTCGCCGCAGCGAGGACCTCGCGGCCTGGCCTTAAGGCGGGCGTGTCCCTCTACCGGAGGAAAATTCAAAAATAGTAGTGATAGTCGGGAGTTGATTTTTGTTTTAGCTTGTTTGTTTCACTATGCTTGAGCATTCGTCCATTATTTTCCATTGTTCTATGCAAAATTCGCCTGTAGGAGGACATGCCCGACCTGAGCTTGGCCAGAGTGGAGCGATGCGGAGGTGGTGCCAGGAGGCTCCGACGAGCGAGAAGGCCTGGACACGCCAGGCGAGCCCCCCGGGGGCAAGCATGTGGGCGTCAGGAGCCTCAGTCAAGGGGCCCCTACTGGGGCCGAAACCGCTTGGGCCCCTGCTAGGCCGCCAGAAGAGTAGGAGCCCTGCACCTGGGCCACCCGAGGAAGAGGCAGCTTCATGCCTGCCGCTCTGGCTCGCTCCAGCCTGATGCTGGGCCTTCTCACCACGATGCAGTGGATGCAAATCAGGATAGAAGGAGCGGAGTTGAGCACGGTGGGCCCTCGTTCCACCCAGTCGTCACCTCGATCCCTGCCCCTCCTCCTCCCCTCCCCCCTCCTTCCTGTCCTCCTCCTCCTCCTCCTCCTCCTCGTCCTCCTCCTCCTCCCTCTCCTCTCCTCTCCCTCTCCTCTCCCTCCTCCCCCTTTCCAATCCTCCCCCTCCTCGTCCCCCTCCTCTCCATCCTCCTCCCCCCCCATACCCCTCCTCGGGAGGCTCCTCGGCCTCGGCAAGGAGGAGATGCTGCTGAGTTTCGGGGAGCACTACCGGCAAGTTTGCGGCGACCCTGACGGCGCCTCGCACGGGAACATCCCAGGGCCCCCTAAATCAGAACACTGCCAACCAGGACTTTGCGCAGTCTGACCTGGAGAGAGCGAGTGATGCCAGAAGAAAGGGTACCCACAACGGTACCTTTGGGCCGCTTTCCCCTTCTTAGGCCTCTTGGGCGGCCCTCGGCGAACTTCTGGCCAGAAAGCACCCTGGGAGAGGTCTGGGGGGTGGCGATTGATGGCAAGTTTTCCACAACCGCTACCATATGTAGGTCGGGGGAGAAAGGAGGATGAAGAAGTCTTTCTCCTCCTCCTCCTCCTCCTGCTCCTCCTCCTCGTCCTCCTCCTCCTCCTCCTCCTCCTCCTCCTCCCCCTCCTCCTCCTCCTTCCTCCTCCTCTTCCTCCTCTTTTTCCTCGTCGTCGTCCTCCTCCTCCTCCTCCTCCTCCTCCTCCTCCCTCCTCCTCCTCCTCCTCCTCCCCTCCCCTTCCTCCTCCTCCTCCTCCTCCTCCTCCTCCTCCTCCTCCTCCTCCTCCTCCTCCTCCTCCTCCTCCCCTCCCCGTCCGCCTCCGCCTCTTCCTCCTCCTCTTCCTCCTTTTCCTCCTCGTCCTCCTCCTCCTCCTCCTCCTCCTCCTCCTCCTTCCCTTCCCCCTCCCCTTCCTCCTCCTCCCTCCTCCTCTTCCGTCGTCCTCCTCCTCCTCTTCCTCCTCCTCCTCTTCCTTATTCTCCTTCTCCTTCTCCCCCTCCGCCTCTTCCTCCTCCTCTTCCTCCTCTTTTTCCTCCTCGTCCTCCTCCTACTCCTCCTCCTCCTCCTCCTCCTCCTCCTCCTCCTACATATGGTAGTGGTGGTGGAAAATGGGCCCATCAGCGGTGTCGGTACCTTTGGGTTTTTCCCGGGATGGGGTCACAGCGTCGACCCACGGTTGTTGTGTTTCTTCGGGTGCGCCGAGGTCTTGGTGGATCCGGAAGCCCCTGTTGATAGGGGAGCGAAGAATGGCATACGGTGGAGGTTTTACCAGGGTGCCCCAGGTTCCTCGGATTTCAATGGATTCGCTGTGGAAGTCCTGTGGTCTCAGGGTTGCGTTTCTTGTGGAAGGTTTCTTGTGGCCGAGCCTCCACTGTAGACATAAAAACTCGGAGGTCCGCGCGGGCTTCTCGGATCGGCGCGGGGGGCCCCTTGCGGCGCCTCCAGCGCCGCCCCTGGCGCGCTTCGCGCGCCAGGGAGGGGGAGTCCAGCGCCGATCCCAGAAGTCCGCGCGGATCGCCGAGGTTTTCTGTCTGTGTCCTCGTTCGCTCTCCTGGTTTAGAGGGCCCCGGACGTCCGCTCCTTCATGCGGCACGGCTGGGACGGGGTGCACTTTCCGGACGGCCTCGGCCTGGCCTTCGCGGGCGAGGCTCGGGGGGGCGCCGCCTTTTTGCCATCTTTGCCACGGGCGTGCCCCGCGATGCCAGGCTGGGCCGGCCCCGGGGGGCCCGGGATCGGCGCACGTGCCCCTCGGGACGATCGACATGGGTTCGGGAAGCATGGGTACAGAGATGGGCCCATGTTCCACCGCCACGAGAACGAGAACGAGGGCGAGGACGAGGGCGAGGAGGACCTCTTCGTCGTGACTTCTCCCCCGTTCCACGTCTGGTAGCGGTGGTGGAGAAGTTGCCCATCATGCAGGATTCGCTTTCGGGGTTGCCGTGCACGGTGTCCATTTGAGGCAGAAGGCCGCCTGCCCAGCAGTGGCCGCTGGACATCTCTTGGGCAGCATTTGCGACTAGGCGTCGTATATACCCACTTTCCCCGTACACATGTCGGACGCCCAAAGCTGATGAGCGGGGGGGGGCAGTAAACCAGGGTGGTGAGGGTGGTCGATGACTGCTGGAAGGTGGCCCTGAAGGGCCCCTGGACTGCACCTGCGGCCCCCTGTCCCCCCCCCCCGTTGACGAACGCCCAGGTGCCCCGAGCGAGACGACACGTTTAGATAACGACCAGATATCCACGAAGACGGTTGTGTTGGTGCGTGTGACACAGAGAAAAGTTGGAGTTGGATATCCTGTCACTGAAGGGATGCATCCACACGTAAGGCATGGCTGTACTGGCAATCCAAGTGGTCTCTCGCGTTCGGAGTTGGATCCGTCAGCATGTCGCTGTTGTCGCCTTGTCATGTGGGGCCCCGTGGTTGCCCTGTCGGACACCACAGGTGCGTGTGACACAAACGAGCCCTCCCGATGGCATCCCGGGCCAGGCCGCGAGTGCGTACGTACCGGCCCGGGGCCAAGCGTCGGCCCCGGCAGCACCGGTGCGCATGCCAGGCATGCCTGCAGGCTATAGAGGATGAGCATGGATTGTTCCAGAGCGTTCCGGAGCGCAGGGCTGGATCTAAACGGTATTTTTGGCGATTTCGTGGGCCGTTTGCGTTTCGAGTTCGTCTTGCGGGAAAGGCGGACTGAAGACGAAACGAGGGAACACGGAAACAACACGAAGACGAAAAACACCGTGTAGGTTCAGCCCTGCCGGAGCGCTCCCAGCACGTGATGCCGGAGCGCCGTGGAGCGGCCGCGGCGCCGATGCATCCTCCGGGCCCGCCAGCTCGAAGGGATTCCCGTACCAAGGGACATGCACGAGTCGTTAAAAAGGCCTTGGCATCGCTCGGCCGTGTGCATTTTTCCTTCGGCGAGGACCATCGAGGAGCATCCTTGATCATTTGGCGAAAAAAAACACGCACGAAACCGGAAAAAAAACAGGGAATGGACGTCCGAGCGATGGCCAGAGGCACGACGGGAGGTTTGGCTGCTTTCGGCTCTTGGGGCCATCGTCGGGCCCAGAGCCGTCAGAAAACTACCTGGGATTAAGTCGGGCCTTCCCCTCTACAGGGGAAGTTTTCAAAAATAGTCAAAGAATGGTCTGGGGACTATTTTTTAAATATTTTCGGGCATCTCTTGAGTACTGAGTGAGTCCGTTTTATTTTTCGTCCAGAATCCTCCTGTAGGGGGACAGGCCCGACTTCAACCTAGGATGAAATGCCAACCCTGGGGGCGGGGTCGGACCCCGCATGGGAAGACAGGAGGGGAAAAAACACACAGACACAATTAATCGTCGATCCCCCAGAAAATATTGGAAAATATGGGCAGTGGGGGGGAAGACAGAAACCCAGAAAATATGAGAAAATATGGGGCATCATTTTATTTGTGTGTATTTATTTGTGTGTCCTTGGGCCCCTTGATTCTTGGCCTCGCCGCTCTGCGGAGGAGCGGCTCCCGTGGCCACCGCGAGGCGCCCCCGGGGCCACCGGGTCGCCCCCGGCGGCAGAACCCGGGCGGCGTCCTCGGCGCTGGGCGGCGCTCGCGCCTGCCCCTCTTCTCATTTCGTGACGTCCCTGGCCCCCCCGCTGGGCCGCGCACATGCCGCAGCCCATGATTTGCACCCCCCCCTCTTGGACACCCCCCCTTCTTGGCCGCTCCCGAAGATCCCAGAGAGCCAGGGTATAGCCAGGACCCCAGGTAAGGGGACCCGATTAGCAGTGGGGCCTGGAGCCCCCAAATTGGCCAGAGTCACTGGACCAGGTCTGCCGAGGCTTGTGCTTTTTCGTGTGGCGGCAGTTCCGCTTTGTGGAACGGGGTGGGGGGGCGTCCCCCGGTACACATCACCAAACCAGGCCCCACGAAATCCAGTTCTGCCAACGCCCGACAGAGCGCTAGGGCATCGAACAAAATCGAGACGGAGGTTCTTCGCTAGCCGCTGGTTTCGGCCCCTGGGGTCCCTCGCCCGGCCTCAGGATGGAGAACCGGTTCTGGGGAATTTGTCAAGACTTCCGGGGGACCGCGCATTGCGCATTGAAAAAATCACAACGTCGGGTCTCTGGGAGTTGGGGTGCGGGGCCGGCGCCCTCCTGCAAGGGTCTTATCGGAGGCCTAGAGGTTGGCACCAACACCAGTATCGGCGGTGTGCATACACTGAGGGGAGATGATCCCGACCTCGGTGATGGTGGTGATATTCGGGTCTCCCAGGTGGCCGACAGATTACCACCAACACCAAAATGCAGGATCATTTCCCCAGGGTGGAGGCCACCCCCTCTGCGGGTGCTGGTGACCATTTCCAGGCCTCCAAGTCTAGGCCTCCCAGATGGGGTCCGAGCAGATGGGGTCGGAGCATCGCGCCGCACCGCCAGTGCATCGGCGATGCGGCTCGATGCGGAGCTCGACTTTCGCCACGCCCACGGCGCCAAAGCATCGCCAACATCGCGGTGCATCGCCGATGCATCGCCGATGCCCCGGCGTTGCGGCGTGATACTTCGACCCCATTCACTCCGACCCCGTCAAGGAGGCCTCTACTGAAGGGGCCGCCCGCCAAGCGGCAGAAGGCCGCGTGACGCACCAGCGCAGTGGCAGAGAGATCAGGGGCAACGTCAGGTTTCGAGGTTCGGGGGTTGCGGCAGGGGCCCCTGGCCCAAGATGCCCGCTGCTATCCGCTCAATCTTGAAGCCCTCGAGGCCCTCTGTGCATCATGCGGGATGCTCTGGAGGCCGTGGGGGGCCCCCTTGGAGATGCTGGTGGGTTCTTGGGCCAGGGGGCGCTTCTGGCAACACCCAACGCGGGGACGCATCGGCCCCCCATCGCCCGTTCGCCGTTGACAGCGGCCCGACGGCCCACACCCGCCAGGAGCTCGCGGAGTTTTGTTTTGTTGTTGTTGTTGTTGTTGTTGTTGTTGTTGTTGTTGTTGTTGTTGTTTCTTTCTCTCTTTCTCTCTCTCTCTCTTGCCCTCTCTCTCACTACATATGTATTAAACTTGTAAACATATGTATATATATACATATACAGTATATATACATATACATATTTATACATGTATATGTATATACATATATATATATAATTATGTAGATAGATTCAGGCCCTGGCGCCGAGCTGTCGGCGGTGCATCGCCAACTCCAGCTCGGCGTGCCCCCCCGCTGAGCACGGTGCCCCCCTGACGTTGCCCCTCGGCGGCCGAGCGGAGGAGGCGGAGCGGCCCCGAGGGCCTGCGGGGCGGCCCCGCGGAGGAGCGCAGTGGCGGCGTGCCCAGCCACCGCTGGGGGCCAGCGGGCAGCGGCGCCCGCGGGCCGGCGGGCATTGGAGAGACGTGGAGCGGCACTCTCCAGCCTGGCCCCTCCTCCTCCGCCTCCTCCTCCTCCTCCTCCTCCTCCTCATCCCCCTCCTCCTCTTCTTCCCCTTCCCCCTCCTCCTTCTCCGCATTGGAGAGACGTGGAGCGGCACTCTCCAGCCTGGCCCCTCCTCCTTCCCTCGCCCGTGGGCGAGACACACGTCCTTGGCATCGCTCGGTTCTGGGCGGTCTTCCAGCTTCGGGGTGCCGTCCAGCGGCCACGCCTCGCCGAGAGCGTGAAGGGGATGCCCGGATCGCAGTTACGGCCCGAACGCCAGGGGCAACGCTGCCGATGTTCCCCACCTGAGCTGGTGCCCCTGTCGTTGCATCTCGTCGCGGCCTTGTGGATCGCTGGGTCGTCGCCAGTCCGCAGGCTTTCTGAGTGTGGCGCTTTTTTCCCGGAGGTCGGCGCGTCGCCAGCGCTGGCCGAGGCTCGGAAGGGGTGGCCCGAGGAGGGGTCTATAGGCTGCAGGGACCTGTTCTGGGTGGATCTCGGCCGGGCCCCTCTTCCTTTCATCCTCCACTCGTCGTGCCGTCGTCACCTCAGCATGCTGATACTGTGCGTCGCTCTCCTGCCCCCCAAGCGGCGACGCGCGCGCCAAGGAATCTTGTAGGTTAGGCTCCGTGGCGGGCGCTTTCTGGCCAGGCCGCTCGGGAAGCAGCATGCTACAGGATGGTGGCACTACGGGCTCGGGTCTGACGTGTGCTTCCGAGGTGGACGCGCAGTGCCACTCAGTGTGTCCTCGTGCGCCCCCCATCACTCCTGCCCTCGCCCGCTCGCTTCCTGCCCCGCCCTCCCGTGGGCTCCACGTCCTCGTCCTCCCCGCCCCTCCTCCTCCCCGCTTGCCGCCCCCTCGCCTCCCCCGCCACTTCCTATCCCCTTCGCCCCCCCTCCGCTCTTCACCTCCCCTGCTCCCAGCCCCTTCCCCCCCCCCTCTCCCTCGCCAGAAGACGTGCCCACCGTCTGGCCGCGAACGCGCGAACGGGCAAGTGTCCCGCTCCCTGGCGGCTTCCTGCTTGGGGGGGCCCGCGTGTCACGCCTGCTGCATCGAGGCGGTCATGGGGCTCTAACAGGGAAGGCGCCGCCGGGGCAAAAGGAGCGCCTCGCGCAAGACATCCGCACGATCTGGCCGCCAGCGGGCAGGTGTTCCCATGCCTGGCGGCTCCCTCCTCGTGGTGCTCACATGCTATGCCAGCGCTGTCGTGTAGATCATGAAGCTTTTTGAAAGGGAGAAGTCGCGGGTGCAAAACGATGGCCTCGCTCGAGACATCCACACAATTTGGCTGCCAACGGGCAAGTGTCCCCATCCCTGGCGGCTTCTCCTTGGAGCGCCAAGCAGCTATGCCTGCTATAATGCGGCGGCCATGCGCATTTCGGAAGAGAGGAGTCGCCGCCTCTTGGAACCCTCTCGAAGCCGGGTGCTCGACATGTCCTTTTGGGCCCCCCTGCCTGGGCTGCCTCTTGGAGCCGTCCTGGCCTTGGAGGCTGTTTGGGCCATCTTGGGGCCCTCGTGGGCCGTTTGGGGGGCCCTCTTGATGGCCTCTTGAGTTGCTGTGGGGCCATCGTCGAGGCTCCTTGGGCCGTCTTGGAGCGTCGGGGAATCGAAAAGACAAGAACGTCAGAATCCGTCAAAAACCAAAGGACGACCAATACATTGTGCCTGGTGGGGCCCTCTTTGGAGGCCTCTTGGAGGCCTCTTGGGGCGTTTTCGAGGCATCGCGGGCTGTCTGAAGGCCATCTTGGGCGTCTTGGAGCGATCTTTCGGCGACTCGGGGCCTCCTTGGGCCGTCTTGGGTCCCCTGGGGCCCTCTGGGCCCGTTTCGGGGATCTTTATCCCCCCCCATGACGCGTTCGAGCCGGGCCAGGGGGTGTCGAATTTCCAGTTCGGGGGCCCTGAGGGGAAATTTGTGTGTGGGGGGGAGAACAATCTCAAACACCTAGAGACCCACAAACAAGGCCGCTTGATTCTGTCCTACCTGCCCTGGCCTTTGCACTCTTCACAGGCCTGTGCATATCTCGCAGCTACCATCGCCTTTGCGGCAGATTCTTGGCATCGCCGTAGTCTATCTTAGTTCACATTTTGCGTGTCGCCCCCATTTGCCTCCCCCCCTCAGTCGGGCTCCCGCCCAGTAACCAGCATTCATCTTGCTGCACAGTTAGCGTTGTCTGCGTTTGTTTGATTGTGTTCGTAATCAGGTGAGGAGGTTTCGAGTTGTTCGTTCCGCGCACTTGTCCTTGCGTTGTTTGTGGCTTCAGCTGTTTTGCTGACCTATCTTCGCTTGCACGCTCAGCAGCTTGCCCAAGCTTGTCTCTCAATTAGAGGCTTTCAGTCTGCCGTCTCCTCCCTCTGGGTTTCCCCCTTCGCCCCTCTGAGTTGGTCTTGCGTCTTTCACTCCGCGGCTACGCTAGCCTCTGGCTCGTTTCCGTTCGTCGCTTGGCGGCTCCGTCCGGGTGCTCGTATCCACTATGTGGTTGGTGATGTCTGTTCGTGGGTGCATTGCAGGATATGTCGCTTGCTGTAGCTCTAGCAGCCAGTATCCTGTAAGTCTTTGGTATTGTAATCGTTCTTCCTTACCGTCTTTCGCGGCGTCTCTTGCGATCCCAAAATTTACCGATCATCGGATACGATCGCAAATTACCACGTACTCCATAATCTTAGATTATTCCGTTTCGCTTATTCCAATCAGCCCAGTACCGTATGTATTGTTTTACCCCGTGCACACCATCTCACACATGATACTAGTTTGCAGGTCATGCTTGATTCATAGCGTAGCGTATGCCTATATTTATCGTCTCATTATCCAGGACTGTAGTTCGTATATTAAGACTATTTTGCTGTATCAGCCCAAGGTGTCCTCCATTCCATACGACACCAGATTGTATTTGCTACCATAAGACTTCTTAGACGTGTGAAAACGATGAGAATGAAGAGACGAAGGGAAAGAAGAGAGTGACACGCTGAGGGGCCTGCAAGCTGATTCCGGAGTACAGTTATGGGCAAGGCTTGCGCGATCCGCCCTGGCATCCGCGAACTCCCTCCGGGGTAAGTTCACGGGCAAGACTGGCACGACCCGCTATTGGACCCGCGAGTTTATTCTGGAACAAATTCACATGCGATTTTGGCTCTATATTTGCTCTGGCGCCCGTGAGCTTACTGCAGAGAAAAAACGATCACGAGCAAGGTTTGGCTCGACCCGGTTTGGGGCCCGCGATTTTACTCCGAATTGAAGTCGTGAGAATGATGTCACCATCTCCAGCGCGAATCAAATCTATTCCGGAGTAAACTCTCGCGTCCTGGAATGTGCGCCAAGTTCTAAATCAATTGCAGAGCGAATCCATTCCGAGGCGGGAGCGCATACCAATCTGAAAATATCTCTTCCGGAGCAAATCTTGTGTGTGCGTTTCCTCCTCCTCCTCCTCCTCCTCCTCCTCCTCCTCCTCCTCCTGTTCCTCCACCTCCTCCCCCTTCTCCCTCCTCCCTCCCCCAGCCTCGGGCTGCCCTGTGGCTCCTCCTCCTCCTCCTCCTCCTCCTCCTCTTCTTCCTCCTCCTCCTCCTCCTCCTCCTCCTCCTCCTCCTCCTCCTCCTCCTCCTCCTCCTCCTCCCCCTCCCCCTACTCCTCCTCATCCTCTTCCTCTCAAGCTGCTCCGTGGATCCACCTCTCGCTCGCGCGCGAGAAGCGGGGCCGCTTGTCTCGGGAGGCGCCGCGCTGGGGGTGCGTAGCTCGGAGCTGCTGGCAAGGCGGCGGCAGATGCAGCTGCAGCTGCTGCGGAGGACCCCGGGGGGCGTAGGCAAGGAGGGGGAGGGATCACGAGCGGCGGACATATCCGTATCTGCGCATTCGCAGTCTGGATTCCGGGTCGCGATCCCGCAGATACGCGGTCGTGCGGATACGTTCCGCGCGGGGCATCCGCGAAAGAACGCCGCGTATTCGCAGGGCCGCGGTCCCGGGGCCCGGCCGGCGAGGCCGCGGATACGGATATGCTCTTCGCCCACGAAGGGAGGAGAGCGGAGAGCGGGCGATTGAGGGGATGATGTCAAGGGGGGGGTGGGAAGGGGTTTGGTGAGAGGAGGGGGAAGGGCGGAAAAGGGACGACGCAAGGGATGTGGTCAAGGGGTTGGGAAGCGGCTTGTTTGGAGGAGGGACGGGGAGGAGGAGGAGGGAGGAGGGAGGAGGAGGAGGAGGAGGAGGAAGAGGAGGAGGAGGAGGAGGAAGGGGAAGAGGAGGAGGAGGGAGGAGGAGGAGGAGGAGGAGGAGCACCAGACGAAGTCCAAGATGCATCCGTGTCCCCGTGGCCCATTTTCCGCGTCCCGTGCTTCTGCGGACGCGCGGCCTCGCAGGTGGTCGTCTCTGCGGCCCGTGGTGTGGCCCGTCGTGGTCGGTCGTGCGTCCTGTTTGCCCGCTGCCGCTGGCTCCACAACCCTTGGGCCCCTTCGTCGCGTGGCAGCTCGCTCGCGGCATGTGCGGCGTCCTGCCGGAGGCGGGCAGGCCGTGGGAGCACGGAGAGTGCGGGCTCGTCGAAGGGCGAGAGGGGGCGGGAGGGAGGGAGGGGGGAAGGAGGCGAGGAGCGGTAGCCAGGAGGGGCAGGAGGGGAGAGGCGAGGAGGGGTGCGGCAGTGGAAGTGAGAGAGAGAGAGAGAGAAGGAGGGGAGCCGACGTGGGTCATGATCGATGGCCGATGAGGGAGAGTGGGCAGGGGAGGGGGGCAAAGGGGGCGGAGGAACGACGGACGCACGATGCGGACACGGGCGTGGGGAAGTGCAGCGGGGACGGCACGATGAGGTCCTCGGAGTCAACAAAACACAATCAAACAACAACAACAACAACAACAACAACAACAACAACAACAACAACAACAACAACAACAACAACAACAACAACAACACCAACAACAACAACAACAACAACAACAACAAACACAACAACAACAACAAGAACAACAACAGCAACAATCATGTTGGGACTGTTCGCCCTTATCTGCACGAGTGTCCAAAAACGCGTATTTCCCATACCCTCGATACCCGCCCTCTTCGTCTTCGATCGATACCCTTTGGGGGATTGACCTTTCTTCCCTGCAGGCCGGGCCCCGGCAAGCGGCGGGGCGGCCGCGGACCGTCGTCCTGGCCAGCGGCAGCGCTGATCGGCGGGGCGGCCGCGGACCGTCGACCCGACCCCAAGAGGGACGGACAGAGGACCGACCACGACGACGACGACGACGACGACGACGACGACGACGGCGACGGCGACGGCAACGGCGACGGCAACGGCGACGGCGACAACGGCGACAACGGCGACGGCGACGACGACGACGACGAGCGAAAGCGAGAGCGAGACAGCACGACAGCAGGGTCACATGGACACGAAGTAGGCCACGAAGGGAGACACCGGGGACACGAAGGGAATGCGTATTGGACCACGAAGAGCGCGAACGAGCGGGGGCCACGAAGGGCAGAGAATGTGTGGCCACAGAAGGCAACGATTGGGCCACTTAGGGTAGCAACTGGGCCACGTAGGGCAGTGAGGGGGCCACAAACGGCGACAGCGGGGCCACGACGGGCATGCACATGGGGCCACAATGGGCGCGAACGAACGGGGGTCACGAAGGGCATACGAGCAGCAAAGGCTGCCAGCAGCACAGGCGAACGTTGTGTCACCTCCGTCACGCCTCAGGGCTAGCAGAGCGAAAAAAACCCTTCCGTTCTTCCCCCCGATTTCTTTTTGCGCCTCTGGCACATGGTCGTTCGGCGCGGCGCTGCGGCGCGGTGCGTGGCAGCAGAAGCGGGCTCGCGGAGGACCTACCAGGGATACCGGGATACCACAGCGCCCGGGAGGCGGCGGTGTGCCGGTGTGCTTCGGCGCCGCGTCTGGCATCGAAGTGTGTCGACGGCGTGCGATGTGGCCTCGGCCAGCGAGAGGGCACTGAAGCCGTCCCAGAGCAAAATCACAACGCGAGCAAGCATCACAACGCGAGGTCCCCGGCAGCGCTACAGAACCAATCGACTTGAACACCGCGCGGCTCTGGTCGGCACAGTCGCAGTGGGTACGGCAGCAATGGGGACGCAGTCTGACAGACAGCAGTTCCTGCCCGTCTCGGACAGGAATCGCTGTTGGTGTCGCAGAGGCCGGTGTCCACTCGAGACACACGGTCGCCGTCGCGGTCGGATTTGGACAGCAGGTGCTGCTGGGCGTGGTGCCCCCTTGTCTCCCCGTGCCCACTTGGGCTGTGCCAGTCTGGGGAGGCCCGCCGAGGAGCGAGGAGCGGTGGTCGTGGCCCGTCGCTCTCCTCCTCCTTCCCGCCCCCCCCCCTGCCGCCGAGAGAGGGGAGGGGTAGCCAGCACCTGATGCCGGAGCTGAGGGTCGACACGAGGCGGGGCCCCCCGTCGGCAGGGCCGGTTGCCACGGGGGGGGGGGCGCGCGCGAGAGGGCGACGCACTTCGGACGGGTGAGGGGTCCCGCGCTTCAGGGCGCATTTCGATGCCGCCGATTCGATCCGATCTTCGATGTCGATGGCTTCCGATTCCGATTCGATTCGATTTTGGATTCCGATCTGGGTTCCGAGGTGTTCACCTCCGATTCGATCCGAGTCGATGCCGACGGCTTCCGCTCCCGATTCGATTCGGGTTCGGATTCCGATTTGGGCTCCGAGTCTTTCAATGGAGGCCTGCTGGCCTGCCGACTTCCGCCGATGCGGCTTCTCTCGACGCGTCGGCCGATCTCCGACGATCCGATGCGTGTCGATGGCACATCCGTCTCAGCGATTCGATTCTGGGCTCCCCTGCGTCCCCCCTTGGGCGTCGTGCACGGCAACCACGCCGTGGCGAGTGTGGCCTCTGGAGGCTTGCGGCCAGGTGCGGCGGATAACTGGACTTACGTCGGGCCTGTCCCCCTACAGGAGGGATATGCAAGAATAGTTAAAACATAGTCTGGGGACAATTTTCTCAGCATTTGTTATCTATTTTGGTGCATGTTTAAAATATGTTTCATGTTTAGCTCAGAATCCGGCTGTAGGGGGACATGCCCGACCTAGACCCAGGGGTCGGGTTTGGAAGAACAGGGTGGCGTTGGTTGACGGGCGAATCTTCCACCACCGCTACCATATGTGGGACGGGGGAAAAGGGAGGTTGGAGAGGGCCTCCTCTCCTCCTCCTTTTCCTCCTCCTTCCCCTCCTCCCTCTCCTACCCATGGTAGTGGTGGTGGATGATCGGCCCATCATGGGTCCTACATGTAGCCGGCATCCACTGCGTATTGCGACAGCACGTGCGCATGACGGCGTGGAGATCCAAGGGAGCGGCACCTTCGCAATCCATCGACCGCCCTTGGGAGTCTTTTCCTGCAGGTGGCAGGATGCACGCTCGCATGCCATCCTGATCGTGCAAATGTTGTGTAAGGCCAGTGCGGGTTAATTTCAGAGCAGGAAGCAATGGGAAAACATTTGAAAGCAGTCAGACTCGGATGAATGCGCGGTATGTTTATTGGGTCTTTGTGAGATGAGTTCGGCCGGCGTCAGTCGGTACGCATGATAAGCTGCATGTAAATTTTCTCGCCGTTTCGGGGTGAGTTGTTGGTGTCATCTCCGGGAGTCCCTCGCAGCACGGCACAGGCTGGTGTTTGCTGAGTCCGTGGAGCGGGGAGTCCCTGCGGGCCCTCGGTGAAGGACCGTGCGGTGAGGTCTCTGAGGATTTCGAGGCCACCGCGCAGCCCGTCACCGCACCGTTCAGGAGCCCCACCATAGGGTATGGTGACAGGTCATGGGAGCCCTGTATACCCCCCTGAATTCTGTCTTTAGCGTCGATTAGCATCTGGGAGTCGACGAGGCAGCGGAGATGAGCGTCGATCTAGCGTCGGTCTAGCGTCGACTAGCGTCGATTAGCGTCGATTCGCAAGAGCCGACAAGATGGTGTGGGAGGCTCCCATGAGCTGCCGCCGGAAAAGCACGGACCGAGACGCGTGGGCTCGCAACGGAACACCTTTCCGCACGCGATCGGCGCGCTCCATGGCCAGAGGAGGGGCGGCGTTGGCGCCAGGCGTCGGGGGCAAGCGCTTGCGATGCATGGCTCTGGGCGCCCGCGTGCCAGATGCACGGATCCCGAGTCCATGTTGGCGCGTGCCCGATGCTGGCCCACCCCGTCCAGGAGCGCACGTTCTCGCCATCGGGGCCCTGTCGCCGGTCCGTCGGCGACGCTCGTCGGCGAGCGAGGGGGGACAGTGAGACGGGAAGGTCTTCTCAGAAGGCGGCGGGGCTTCTCAGAAGGCACCCGGCCCTCTGCCAGGTTTCCTGTGTCCTCGGGGCAGGCTTGGAGAGAATTCCTCGGAAGGCTGGGGGACGTCCGAGCCTTCCGAGAAGGCCCGCCCCGCTCGCTTCCCCCCTGGGCTCGCCGCTCAGATGCTGCTGCTGCACCTTTCGTGATTCCCGCCCTGAGCTGGGTCCTCCCCCGAGGTTGCCACCTCAGGGCGCCCCGAGGGGACGGGCGCCCCGGCGCCATTCGCGGGCCCCGCGCTTCTTCGGCCCGCCCGGCCTTCCCCTCCCACAGGAAATGCCACCAGAGGCCCCCTTACAACAGGCTTGGCCGCGCCCCGCTCGCAGAGAGTCGGCATGGTTTTCCAAGGCCTTTGCGGTCTTATTGCGGGTCAGTAATCCCAGGGTGGGGTTCGGGAACGAACTCACCTGGATGATGACCTCTCCCACGAGCAGTGCTCCTGCATAGCCCGCGCAGTTGCAGATAACAGTGCGGGGGCGGGCAGGGGATTGCGAGGACCTTACGGCCAGTGCCGCCGACCCTGAAGGGGGACGTCGACGACGGCGGCGGTGGCGGCGGCGACGACGACGACGTTGACGTGGGCCCGAGTCCTCACGGATGCTTCTTGGGGTCTCTTGGGAAGGGTCTCGGGGGCCTCTGTGGAGGAATTGTTGACGCTTCGCGTATCCCCACCAGCCCATCCAGAAACGATGCTCAGGGGAGTTAAGGTGATCAGGGAAGTCGGGGAGCATGCAGAATAACAAAGGGCGGGGGAAGCTGTCACAGACCCCGAGAGGGGGAGGATGGAAGAGGAGTCGTCGTCGTCGTCGTCGTCGTCGGAGGAGGAGGAGGAGGAGGAGGGGGAAGAGGAGGAGGAGGAGGAGGAGGAGGACGGAGAAGGAGGAAGAATCGGAGGAGGAGGAGGAGGAGGGGAAGGAGCTTCTTGGGGGTCTTTTGAGGGCCTCTTGGAGGGCTTTTTGGGCGCCTTGGGGCATCTTGGGCGCCTCTTGGGACCCTCTTGAGGCGCTCTGGGGAGCCTTCGGGGCGCTTTTGGGGCCATCTTGGAGGGAGTCGATCAAACAAGAGGGGGGGTTTAATTAGCGTCCCCCCTCGGAAGCCCCTAAAATCGCCTCTTGGACCCCTCTTGGAACGCTCTTGGAGTGCTCTTGGGCGCTCTTGGGGCCGTCTTGGGGCTCTTTTGGGGCTCTCTTGGGGCCCTCTTGGGCCATCTTGGAGCCATCTCCAGGCCTCGGATAGCCATCGGAAGCGAAAAGGCGAGAAAGCAAAAATCATTGATTTTCCTTAGGTTTTGGGACGATTTTGGCCTCTTCGGGGCCTCCTTGGGGAGCTGTTTGGCCACTTGGAGTTATCTTGGGGCCGTCTTTGGGCTTCTTGGAACCATCTTAGGAGCCATCGTGAGCGATCTTGCGCTATCTTGAGCCATCTTGGAGCTCATCTTGGGTTCTCTGAGGCGCTCTTGGAGCCGTCTTGGGCCATCTTGGACGCTCTAACTACCCGCGGCCCCCCCCGTCCAGGTCCAGGGGAGGGGGTAGGGGGAGGGGTAAACCCCTCCCCAAGGGGGAAGAGGGAGGGGTGGAAGAGGATCTGCTCTAGACCACCTACGCCCAGAGGGCTGGTGGGATTTGGGGGTCTCGTGGGAGCCACTTGGGAGCCTTTTCGGGTGTCCTGGGGACCTCTTGTGGGCTTCTTGGAGCCTCTTGGGAACTTCTTGGGGCCTCCAGGGAGCTTCTCGGGGCTGAGGGCTCGAAATGTCCGTTCGGGTTCCCCGTGAAGGCACGAGCTTGGAGACGTCTTGGGGGCCTCTTGCGCCGTCTTGGAAGCGTTTTGGGCTGTCTGTGGGTTCTCTTGGGATGCTTCGGAGCGCTCTTGGAAGCCTCTTGGGCCGTCTTGGGGTGATCTTGAGGGCCTCTTCAGCTGTCTTGGAGCGGCGGGAAGCAGAAAAGGCGAGAACGCCCAAATCTGTCAAAAACCTAAGGGGAAACCAATCATTTGTGCCTCGTGGGGCCTTCTCGGGAGTGCCTTTGGAGGCCTCTCGGGGCCCCCTTGGGTACCATGTGGAAGAGTCTTGCAAGTCCAGCGGTCTCGTGGAGAATTCCTGGGTTCCTGGACCGCGCGGGGACCGCACGAGGGTTTCGGAATCGCGCAGGGGGGAAGCGTATTTGGGTGGCGACCCCCCCCGGCCCCCCCCAGGGACCACCCCCAACCCCGGCGCGGAGAAGGGATCATCAAAGGGAAGGAGGTTCCTTTCGATTCGATTACGACATTGCAAGGTTCTTATCTCGCTTGCCTGCTTGAGAAGGGCGCAGGGAGAGGGGGCGACGCAGACGACGACTGACGGAGACGACGACTCGAACAGACAAACCCATCGCACACGCCGACACTGTCGGCGGATTGTCGGCAGTCTGCGAGGCTCGAACGACAATTCATATAAGCCAACCGCCGGCGACGATGTTGCAGAATTTGCACAATTCGGGGCTCAAGCGATGGGGGTCAATGCAAACGGGGGTCAGCCAAAGCGCTCGATCTTGCAGGATCCTGCAGGGCCAGGATCGCATTGATCCAGGCTTGGGTGCAGGATCCTGCAGGACCTTGCAGGATCCTTCGCATTGACTCGGGCTTGGGTGCAGGATCTTGCAGGATTTTGCAGGATTTGGCAACGCTTGACTGACCCGGGCCTGGATTGACCTGGGTCAACCAGATCCCCGAACAACGAGCACGCCGCAGGCGCCGGTTCTTTCCCGTCAGAAGCAAGAGCAGCAATCTGCACCGCGGAAGGCCACTTCAGCCACGCGCCCATGGACAGCGTAAGACCGGAGGGTGATAGACCTCCTACCCTGACACGTCGATTAGCGAATTGGCCGCTTTCGGTTCGTGAGAGGGCGTCGCGGCCGTCGTTGCAGGTCCGGTTTCGGTTCTGGGCCGTTTTCACTCAAGGGTGGTTTACTAAAGGGAGGTTTGTCCACTGCCGAGACGACCGTTCGGCTCGGCCCTCCCACTCTGGCAAGCGAACGGTTTCCACGCAGACTCCGCAGGAGTTGCCTCCGAGGAGTGTCCAGAAACTTGCGAGCCTCCGTCATCGGTCTGCGTGTCTCGCGCCATGAAGCAAGCGGGTCCTGAGGTTTTTCGCCGTCCTGGGGCTTTTTGGGCACCTCAGGGGCACGAAGGACCGCCACAGAACGATTCTGGAGAGCATCTGGGGAAAACTTCGAGTCCAGAGCCGGTTTCCCTCGGAACCCGTCTCCTCATCAGGTCACACGGGGGGCCCATGCAAAGAAACCCTGCTTGCCTCCAGGGTGCTCTGGGCTTCTTGGTTTTGACGGTTTTGCGATGGGAAGTGTGACGTTCCCACACCAGAAGTCAGTGGAAGTCCTGGGGTCTCAGGGTTGGGTTTCTTGTGGAAGGCTTCTTGTGGACTGGCCTCCGCTGTGAGTCACGCCCGGGCGCGCGCAGACGATCGCGCTGCGTGCGCCGCGGCCTGGGGCGGACCTTGTCTTCCCGAGGCGGCCTCGCGCGGACGCGGAGATGGCCGGGCCTCCCCCGTCGCGGGGCGCGACGCGCGAAGTGAGGCCCGCCAGTTTCCTCTTCCTTCTCCTCCTCCTCCTCCTCCTCCTCCTCCTACTCCTCCTCCTCCTCCTCCGCCTCGTCCTCCTCCTCCTCCTCCTACTCCTATGGGTGGCTCGCGGCGGGGCCCGAGAGCACGGAGCGGAGGCGTCTTCATCGGGCCGCCGCGAGGGTGTCGCCGTCGTCGTCGTCGTCGTCCGCGCGGGCGCCGCCGCCAAAAGCCCGCGCCCCGCCCGCGCGCGCAGCTGCCTGGGCGGCTCGAAGGCGCTCCGCGGCAGCGGCGACGGCAGGCGGGGGTGCCTGCCCTTCGTGCGGCACGTCGCGTCAGGCGCCCGCGCGGGCCGTCCCCCGTGCCTCGCCCCCCGCGCCGGAGGGGGCGCAGGGCCGCGTTGCGCTTCACATGGTCTGGAGGATCACATTCATCGGTGCAGTGCCGCTTTTAATATATGCTCCGCGTGCGGATCATGTATTAAAAGTGTAGGGATTGAGTATTAAAACCAGAGATGAGTTCATGCATACATTCCTTCATACATTAATCATATATTAAAAATCATATGTTTGAATTCCCGTGTATGAAGAAAAACTGCCCTGTATCGTTTAACCGATCCCCATCCCCATCCCCATCCCCTTCGAGACCCCCGCCAAATCACCACCCCAGTAACTAAGGTGGTAATTTGGCGGGAGTCTCGACGGGGACGGCCTATGCCCCCATCTAGGGGGGTAAATTGGCCAGTGGGGCCCAGGCCACGCCGCTGGGGATGGGGATCGGTTAAACGATACTCAATTCAGGTGTTCGCAATCATGAATCAAGGGGGCGTTGATTAGCGACGCGTCCCGTTCCCGGAGGAAAACGCGGATTTCCGCCGCCGAGCGAGGCGGCACTGGCCGCATTTTGGGGAGGGCGCCTCCCCCGATGCATGGATTTGGCGATCGCGCGTCAAATCCATGGATCGCTAATCCATGTTTGCGCGCCCCCGGTACAAACACGTCATAAACATCGGGGTGAGGGGGCCGAACCTTCATAGAATTTCCCTGGGAGAGTGGCTGGAGTGGGACTCTGCGGCGCGGATTCTGCTTGTTGTTGCGCTGAGTCGTTGTTGTCGTCGTCCCCCCCGCGACCTGGCCCGCGACCCACCCCGCGACCTGGCCCGCGACCCACCCGCGTCCCACCCGCGACTCATCTGCAACCCCCCCGCGACCCCCCCACGACTTGGCCCGCAAGCCCCCCGCGACCCAGCCACAATGCTTGAAGGAACAATTCGCGGCGGGCTCGTTGTACAACTTGTAGAACTTATGCGCCTGCGGCGGGCTTCTTCAGAGCCTCGCAGACTGCGACGTCCTCGCCGCCCCGTCATTCTCCATCTGCAACTGCGGGGTGCTACGTAAACCTCATCCCTGATCTCAGTGGGCTGAGCCTAGTACCATCTTTGTAGTTTTTTCCATGCAGCGTCTGCAGACCACACACGCACCTGCGACAAGTGTAAAGAATTGCGGTCGGTCCTTTTCTCGATTTCATTCTCCTCAGAAAGGAAAGCTCACCCGAGATGTTGTCTCACGGTCGTGGCGCCCGGGGAAGGCTCCAGGGGGGGCCCAGAAGCGGCGAGAAGAAATGTAGGACCTTTTTCTTCCCGGTCCCGATTCCCTCATGCTACGCTCAGGGAAGAAATCCCTACGTTTTCCGAGGCCCGCGGGGATTTCCTGGGTCGATGTTGGACCAAACTCCGTGACGCGCGGAACGCGACAGATGCAGCTCTGGAGGCGCCGCGAGGGGGATCCACGTTCCGAGAAGAGCGCAGTCCACGGTTTCGGATGTCTTATGTGGAATTCGTGTTGTCTGTGTTGTCGGAACACCATGGTGCGTTGCGAATAGCATGGCGACAGGTTCGCTCTGGGGCACAGTGCGGCTGTTCAGAGCGTGAAGCAGCCCAGTGTCTGGTCTTGGCGCGTGCCCTCCGCATGCGTGCGCATGAGTCACTGAGGGTTGCGCGGTAACTCTGCAGAGAAGGCGCAAGGGTGGAGTCGTCGGGGGTGGACAGACCTCCCACCCTGCCACGTCGATTAGTGAATCGTCCGTTTTCGGTTCTCGGGAGGGCGCCGCGGCCGTTATTTTCAAGGATTGCGCCCGCCAGGTTTGGGCCCAAGGTCGTTTTCACTTTATACTCCGAAGTCGCCTGAAGGAGACGGGTGTCTCATTTCCCCTGGTCATGTCGTTCCCGCCTGCCAGGCATCTGGCAGATGTTCGTGCAGCGAGGTGTTCAGGGCCTCTGGCGCCTGGTCGAGGAGGAAGAGGAGCAGGACGATTGGTGAGCCGCAGCCCCGAGCCCATCGTCTCCATGGTCTGAAGGCCATGTTCTTGCGTTGCACTTCCCTGGCATATCTTTCTCTGTGCCTCTCTCTATCTCTCTCCCTCTGTCCTGCTTCATGTTCTGAGAGGTCACCTGCTCGTATGTGGACGCGCGTGTGCATGTGTGTTCGTCTGGTTGCAAGTCGTTTGCGTTCGCTCTGTCCCGCCTCTTTCTGCCCGCCGGCCGCCCGCCCTTGCGGGCGTAGGGCTCAAAACAACCATTAACCGCCGCTTGCGCGCGCGCAGCCATGTCGCCCATCAGTGTCCAGGGAGATGTCGCCCCGAAGATCAACGCTGAGGAATCCCTTGAGTTCGGGGAAAGAGGATGAGGATACATGTGTGCCAGGTCGTCTTGATCGTCTGATCAAACGCAGGTCACACCCCCTCCCTCCGAACGTGGAGTACCCACGTACGCACTTCACCTGGTCCTGGGTGGCACCGGGCCCGGCCCGCGCGGAATGGGCGCGACACCTGCACTCTGGCGACGCCGTTGTTTCGGAATGCTGCTCCAGCTTTTGCGCGGGCCAAATCTCCGATTGAGAATGTTGTTGTCGCTTCGGCGGCGGCGACATCCTTCGTTGAGAATGTCGTCCTCGCTTTGGCGCCAGCCAGATGTCAGATTAAGGATGCTACTGTCGTTTTTTTTTATGAGCTGGCGGCATTTGTCATTGAGGCTGTTTTCCTTGCCTTGGCGAGGCGTAGGCCACATGTCTAATACAAAATGTTGCGGTTGCGACATCCGTCATTGGGCATCTCGTTCTCCCTGTGGCGCCTGCCACATGTCTGATGGAAAGTGTTGCTGTCAGGCGCTGGCGACATTCTTCATTGAGCGCGGTGTTCTCGCCTGCGCTGCTGTCACCGAGGAGCTGGCGACGCCCTTCGTTGAGAATGCCGTTCTCGCTTAGGCGCCAGCCAAATGTCTGATAGAAAATGTTGCTGTCATTTTGGCGTTGGCGGCATCCTTCATTGTGTTTTTGAAAATGAATGCCTCTATCGCCCAGGCGCGGGCAACATCCTTCATTGAGCATGTTCTCGCCTTGGCGCAAGCCACATGTGTGATCAAACATGTTGCTGTTGCCTCGGCGCCGGCGACACATGTCATTGAGAATGTCGTTCTCGCTGTAACGCCCGCCGCGCGTCTGATGAAAAATGCCGTTGCCGCCTGGGCGCAAGCCACATCTTTCATCGAGCATGTCATTTTCGCTGTGGCTCCCGCCCCACGTCTGGTGACAAAGCTCGCTGTCGCCCAGGCGCCAACCACATTTTTCATAGAGCATGTCGTTTTCGCTGTGACACCCGTCACATGTCTGATGAAGAAGGTAGCTGTCGCGTAGGTTCGGGCCACATTTTTCATTGGGCGTGTCGTGATTGCGTTTGCAATGGCCACGTTCGATTGAAAATTATGTTTTCGCCTAGGCGCCTGCCGCACGCATGGTTGCGATAATTGTTCGTCAACGCGGGCCGTATTTTCGACTCAGAATTCTGTTTTCGCCCAGGTCGTGCCGCGCGCATGATTGCGATTGTTGTTCTCGCCTTAGCGCGGGCTGTGCCTTCGATTCGGGATGTTGCTTTCGCCTGACCGCTGGGGCGCCCGCCACATCTGGATTGAGAGCGCCATTCGCGCCGCAGGGTAAGAGCGTAGCCTCACAAGCTTGTGGGCTGGACAATCTTCCGGATCGCAGGACCATCCGTGGCAGTTTGGTGCCAACGTGCCGCTTGGGTGGCTTCGCTTTGTGTTACCGGCTATCGTAGCGCAAGTCGCATTGGTGCTGCGGGTGCCGATGGTAGTGCGACGCAGGGTGCTGCTGATTTCCGTCGTGCTGGTCACAGTGGTTCAGCCATTCGCAGAGGGGGGTGGGGGGAGGGGGGTGGGCTTCTTAGAAACACCCCTGCTTCTTAGAAGGAGCGAGCCTTATCTATAGATGTCAGGCCGGCGCCTTTTAAGAAGCAGTTCTTTCTAACAAGCCATCCCCCCTCCCTACACCCCTTGGTGCGCATCGCCAAATGGTGTTGCTTCCAACGGTGCTCCTCACAGAGGTAGTTACTGCTGGTTGCACTTGTGCTGGTGCGCGTGGTGCTGTTGTTTCCCGTCGGGCTGGTCGCAGTGGTGCTGCTGATGGCGCTGGTAGTGATACTCGTTGTGCCCCGTTGTCCTTTCGTGCTGGTCACACTTCGTGCTGCTGGAGGCGCTGGTGCTGCTGCTTCGCGGAAGGCTGTTGCCCATGGCGATGTTCGTCACATTGGTATTGTTCGCTGCGTTTGTGCTGGTGCACGTAGTGTTGCCGTTTCCCACCGCGCTGGTCACAGAGGTGTTGCTGGTGGTGTTGGTCGTGTTGCACTTGGTGGTGGTGCTGCTGTTTCTGCTGCTACTGCTGCTGGCCCGTCTTGCTAGCCACTCTGATGCTGCTGGTGGCGTTCATGTTGCTGCGCTTGGTGAAGCTGGTTCCCATCGTGCAGGGTCCTGCGGCGTGGGCAAGCAGCTCGGGCAGGCCGGGTTGCTGGTCGTGTCGCTGGACGTTCAGATGAGCGTTCACGGTAATTTGTTGAAAGTTGTTCAAAGATTCTTGAGAGGGTGAGCCATCTCAGGAGCCGTGCTCGGCGTCTGGCTAATTAGGCACCCTGTGTCTAAATTGTCGCAGGCTCTCGGACAGCCTCTCCGCTTCTCCCATGGGCCTCCCGTTTTGCTCGGATGCCGGGAAATCTCGGCTAGACAACGCAGCGCCACCTTCCAGGTCTCTTGCCGATTGATTAACTGTTGCAGGGAAATTGGAGCGCCCGTCTTTCTTGAAAATATTGACGGATCTATGTTGTGGCATGCTCCTTGCTTGCAGGTGTTGCGTCAGTCTCTCGATTGCTCCGAGGCTCGTTCGCACCAGTGTCAATTCGGTACCCCTTGGAAGAAGTGTGCTCGTATCTTTGCCGTCGGGTTGGGGCGCTCCATCGACTAAAGCGTCGGTACGTGCTCTGATCTCTCGCACCAGTACAACTCATCAGGAGCTCTCCGGACACGCCCAGGAGGCAACCATTGGACGGCCATCGCCGCCGCGGATGTTCGCCAGTTGTGATGTGCGATCGCCTCAACTACGACTGGTGCTTCTGAACCGCCTTGGGTATCTGCTCTGTGGAATAGTATCAAACCATCGGCTTGAGCTTTTTTGTTTCAGCCCTTGGCCTGGTTCTTTCCGCTCGGGCTTGGGAGTTTCCGAATGGTGCCTAGGCGCACCAACTTGTGACAGTTGTGTGGAAGATTCGTGTCGCTCCAGTCGCAATAAAATCATTTGTTGGCGTTCCCAGGGGGTCAGGACTAAGTCTCTGAAGCGAAGCGATAAGCTGCAACGACATGTCTGGTCCCAAGGGCTCGCCGTACCGACGTCATCCGTCGGCGTACCCGCTCTAGTCCCCGTCCCTCCCTTCTTTGTTCTTCTTCCTCTCTCTCGATTTCCGTCCTCACACATCGCATGGTCAGTCATATTTTCGCAATGGTGAGTTCACATGTTTCATTTGCTTCGGGAGTCTCCAAATGACGCTTGGACGCCTAATCTCGCGACACGTGTGTGTGTAATTTTCGCGTTGCCCCAGTCGAAATAGGATAATGTGTTGGCGTCCCCACGAGATCAGGGTCTAGTTCTCCTTATACAAGCATATGCTTAAGTATGTGTATGTTCACATGTACGTGCTCTGTGTGTGTATCTATATACACCGAAATCTTCGCTGCTCGTCTTCAACGGTCCTCTTCGCCCGACTCGCGCATCCCTCCATCCTTGTTCTGCTTCCGCCTCTCTCAACCCCTCCGCCGCCCCTCCTTCTTCGTTTCCCCTGCTCCTTTTTCCAAGGGAGGAACAACCACCCGGACCAGACAATTGGCGTTTACTAAACGGCCTTGGGCGTTTATTAAACAGCCCTGCCCTATTCGGTTCCTTCCGTGGGTGCGTTTGCTAAACGGCCTCTGGGGTGCTGGGGAAGAGGGGCGTCCTGCTGTGACGGCGGGTGGGGGCGGGTGGCGGTTCTTCCTCCTCCTCCTTCTCCTTGTCCTTCTCCTCCCTGTCCTCCTCATCCTCCTCCTCCTCCGCCTCCAGTCTCCCCCCCCTGGCGCGATCCGTCCGCGAGCCGTCGGCCTCACAGCTCGGTGCCCCGAGCAATACCGCCGTGTCTTTGAAAGACTTTTCAAGCGAAGGCGCCTTCGGCGGATATCCACCACCCCTGCCTCTTCAGGACACGCCTGTGCGGCCAAGCGTTTGGGCACAGCTATTGGACCGTGCGTTCCCCCAGCTGTTGTGAGGGGGGGAGCGAGAGGAGGAGGAGGGCAGGGAGGAAGTAGGAAGGAGGATGAGGGGAAGGATGAGGTGACCTCTTGTGGGGCTTCTTGGGTCATTTGAGGGGACATCCGGGGAGCTTCCGATGGGCCTTGTGGAGGCCTCTTGAGGGCCTCGGTGTCCATCTCATGGCGTTCCTGGGCCCGTCTGACACCGTCGGAAGCCGTCTTTGGAGTTTTTCTGGGCCTCTCTTGGGGCGCTTCAGCGTCGTCTTCAAGACCATCTTGGGCGCCTTGGCGGCCTCGTGGTCCGTCTTGGGGCTCTTTCGGAGCCGTCTTGGTAGCCTCTTGAGCCATCTTGGAAGCCTCTTGGGCGATCTGGGGCCAATCTTAGGGCCTGCGTGGGCCGTCGGAAAGTAATGTTGAATCAAATTTTATAACCAGTCAAAAACCGTAATACAATTCATAAGTGTGGTCTCTACAGTCCTTCCTGGAGAACCTCCTGGAGCCCTCTTGGGCTGTTTTAGTGACCTCTGGGGCACTTCTTGTTGGGCCGTCTTGAGCTCTCTCGTACAATCTAGGCGGTCTTGGAGGCATCTTGGGACCGTCTTGGAGGCCATCTTGGGGCTTTCGTGGGGCTATCTTGGCAGTTTTGGAGGCCATCTTAGCCGTCTTGGAGGTTCCAGGTTGCCGACGGGTTGGGCCAAAGCCCCTGTGGGAGTCAAAAACAAACCACCAGCAAACTAACACGCAGCGCACCCGTATGGTAAGCCACAGACGTAGCGTCGCGATCCGTTAGTGCGGAAAGATAACACGGGGGAGTGGGGGTTTGCATGGTCTGTCCCAGATGACGGAAAGAGCGCGTAGAGTCGCGACCCGTTAGATGGGAGAAACGCGAGGGGAGTTTGAGGGGGTTGGCGGTTCCCGTCCCAGATCTATTCGTTTTAATGTTCGGCCATGTTCGGCCCCAGACGGCCCACATCAGCCCCAAGAGTGCCCAAGACGGCTCGAGAGGTTCCCAAGACGGCTGAAGACATCTCCAAGACGGCCCAGGGAGGCCCAGGAGGAATCCGCGATGGCCCAAGACCGCTCAAAGGCGGCCCAAGATTGTCTCAAGACTGCCGCAGCGGCCTTCCAGACGCTCCAAGAGGTCCCCAAGATGACCCTCAAGAGGCAAACGTCGTTAAGGGAAAACGTACATTTTTAGCACATTCGTTTTTGCCCCAACCCTCCTGCGTTGTGAATAGCGCACTATGGTCTCCACCTTCCTCCCGCCTCTCTCCGTCTTTCCTCTTCTCCCCTGCCTGTTATTACTCTTGCCTGCTACCCTGCCGCGTATCTCGTCGTCCTGCCTGGATGCTCGGTTGGGGGCTGCGAGTTGCGAAGTTGTTGCCACTTGCGATGGCTGATGGTCCAGCGGAGTGACGTCCTACCCGAACTCAAATGAGGCCTCGCCATCCTTGGGGGGCTGCGGTCTTCGACTCCGTCGCCACCTTCGAGGGCTGCTGGGGGGGGGCGGCAGCAGAGTGAGGCACCACCCAGATTCAGACTGGACCTCGCCATCCCTGGGGGGCTGCGATCTGCGAGACTGTCGCCACTGTCCAGGGCCGCTGGGGAGTGCAGCGCAGTGAGGTACCACCCAGCTCTAGATGAGACGTCGCCACCCCTGGCGGGCTTCGATCTGCGAAACTGTCGCCACTTTCGAGGGCTGCTGGGGAGTGCAGCGGAGCGACGTCCTACTCGGACTCAAATGAGGCCTCGCCATCACTGGGGATGCTGGGGGGTCCAGCGGAGTGACGTCCTGCCCAGACTCAAGGGAGACCTCGCCATCCCTCGTGGCGCCAACATCGCAGAGTGGATGTCGTTTGGAAAGCAATGTGATGGGCCAGGGCTGTCCTGGAGAATTTCGTATCGGATTTCGAAGTGAATTTCGTGCGGATTTGGTTTGGCCAGGAATGGAGATTGCCCACGTGAAATGCATGTCGTTTTTCGCTCGAGAATTCGGGGTTCTGCATTGACCGAAATCCACGCAAAAATCCTCCGCAGCACGTCTGCAAGATCGGTGCAGTGACATCCGCTTCGATCTGCGAAACCGTCGCCACTTTGGAGGGCTGCTGGGGGGTCCAGCGGAGTGACGTCCTACCCGAACTCAAATGAGGCCTCGCCATCCTTGGGGGGTTGCGATCTGCGAAACCGTCGACACTTTCGAGAACTGCTGGAGGGGATTTTTTCAGAATTTTACTAGCAGACAGTGTCTGTTTGGAAACCTCGGGGCCCCCGCAGGCCCCGCGAACCCTCAAGGAGCCCACGGGGACCACAGCGGCCTACGAGGGGCCACTCACCTTGGCCTGCGGCATGGCACAGACGCGGGGCGGCGAACGCCTCTTTAGCCTCAGGACTTCTTGCGCAAGGCCTTCAAGGCGTATCAGCTGGCTCGTCCTCATGGCCAGCCTCGACTCTCTGTCCATCCCCGTGGCCCATGCACCTCTTGAAGTAGCAGACCTCGCACATGCAGTAGTCACACTGGCGGCAATCGTGGAAGTAGACCTTGTCGGGGATGTCCTCTCCACAGATGTCGCATGCGTACACGCCGTCTGCCACGATGTGCTTCATGTCGTGACCAGCAGGGCAGGTGGACCTCCCGCGATCCTTGCTGGGCTGGACCTTCAGCTCCTCCGTCTTCGCCTCCATCGGGTCCTCCATCTTCGGCTCCTCGTCCGCGTCGCACTCAAGCTGCCCTTCGGCGGCCTCAACTCCACCCTCGATCACCGCGGCTGTCGGGTCCTCGGTGTTCACCTCGGTGGAGGGGGGTGGCGCCGCATCGTCGGCTTGAGCTGCGCCCGCGGCGCCCTGGATCTCGGCCTTCAGCTCCTCGACCTGCACCGCCTTTGCGCTCCTCACAGGAACAGTTGACGCGTCCAGGCCGTCCATGTGGCCGTCCGTCCCCGCAGCGGCGGCCGCCTCGGCCTGGCACCTCTGCCTGGCCTGCTCGAGGGTCATCTTGGCGAAGTCTGGGAGCTCCACGTCAGCGTCGTCGTCGCCCTCGACGTCGTCCCAGTCGGGCTGGTCGGGCGAGGTCTGCGACAGCGCCTGGTACAAGGCCGCCCCGAGGCGGGTCGGCCTGCAGCCGCGATGCGCCATGAGTTGCGCGAAGCCGTCCAGCAAGTGCTGCACCGCCCTAGCTTGGGCGCGCTGCTCCTGCGCACGCCGCGCTGCTGCAGGCCGGTTCGGGCGGCGTCTCCGGCGCACGCCCTCCATGGTTCCCGGGTCGGAGCGGCAGGTGCTCCGATGGCGCGAGCTCGGGGCGATCAAGCGAGCTTGAGCCGAGCTGGCGCTAACTGCTGGAGGGGAGTGACGTCCTACTAAGACTCAACGGAGACCTCGCCATCCCTGGGGGGCTGCGATCTGCGAAACCGGCGCCACTTTCGAGGGTTGCTGGAGGGTCCAGCGGAGTGACGCCCTACCCAGACTCAGATGAGACGTCGCCATCCCTGGGGGGCTTCGATGTGCGAAACTGCAGCCACTTTCGAGGGCTGCTGGGGGGTCCAGCGGAGTGACGTCTTACGCGGACCACCACGAGACCTCACCATCCTTGGGGGGCTGCGAAGCTGACGGGCGAGCTAGGCCTCGCTCGCTGATTGCACTAAGTATAAGCAGGCTTACTCACTTTGTCGAGCGCCGCGGCGACATGGCGCAGGCAGCGCTGCACCGTTCGTGTACGACCGACAACAGCAACACTCTTCGGTTTCCTCCTGTCGCGTTTGTCGTCGTCCCCTGCCCCTTGCCACCTTCCCTATGCTGATGCCGCGCTGACGGGTCGGCCCCCCGCGCGGCCTTCTCTTGCTCTTCGTTCCCGCCCCCATGCCCTCAAGTTTGGCCTTCGCTCATCGTTCTTGTATTGTTGTCCTGTGAATCGTGCCACGCGAGTGCATCCCATGTCGCTTGCACCACATATAACGGCACCTGCATTGTCATAGGCCTGGCAAGTTTGGCCCAATTCCTCATGTCTGAATTCTCTGTCATACCGTCCACAGACGGCCCAGGAGGCCCCCCCTAAACCGCCCCAAGACGGCCCAAGGGGCCCCCACGAGGGTCCCAAGACGGCCCAAGAGGGTTCCAAGGCAGCCCGGCAGGACCCCCAGACGGCCCCTGAGAGGCCCCAGAGGGGCCCCAGAGGGTTACCAAGAGAGCCCCAAGAGGGCAATCTCTTGCAGGCCAGCAAGACGGCTTGAGAGGGCCCCAGGATGGCCCCACGACGGTCCAGGCCCCCGAAGACGGCCCGAAGGGGCCAACGACCGCCCCAGATGGCTCTACGGTCGCGCGAAAGAACCCCGACAGGACTCCATGGAGGCCAAATAAAAGCAATGCGCAGTGATAACGGAAGGTTTGTGGTGCTAGGTTCCTGTCTACCGCACCCAAGTAGTACTAACACCAGCAAGGCTCCAAGGCTCTAAGCAAACGATCGTGCGCCCTCACGAAGCACACGCGCGTTCCGCCCGGGCTGTGCGCCCGAGGACTTTGGGCCTGGGCTGTGCGTCCCAGGACTCTTGGAGGCTCGTTGCGACCTCGTCGAGGCCTCTCGGGGCCTCCTGGAGGCAGTTGTGATGCCTCCTGGGGGACGGTTTCAAAGCTCCTTTCGGGTCTGTTGGGGCCCCCGTGGGGCCTCGTGGGGGCCTCTTGGGGGCCTCTTTGGGCACTCTGTGGGCCTCCTGGGCGCCTCTTAGGGCGGAAGGCTCGGATTTTCAGTTCGTGTTCTCCCACTTGTTGGGGCCGTTTTGAGGCTGTCTTGGGCCGTCTTTTGGGGTCTTCATGTGGGCCGTTATTTTGGGCCTCTTGGGACGTCCTGGAGCGGCGGAATCTCGACCATCGACGCTCTTGTTTGGAACACCGATGAGCTTGGCCTCTCGGAACCCTCTTGGGGAGGCTCTTGGAGGCCTCTTGGGACGTCTTGGGTGCTTGTTCGGCAGGCTGGAGGCCATCTCGGGCGTCTTAGATCGATTGTTCTGCGATTCGGGGCCCTCTTTGATCGTCATGGGGGCCTCTTGGGGCCATCTTGGGCCAGAAAACAGGACGCGACAAACCCCAGGAGGCATGCGGCAAGCACCGAAAGGTTTAAGAGCTTGGGACACGGGCCCTTCAAAACGCCTCAGGATCGAGGCTGATGCCCAGGGGTTGAGCAAAGGTCTGGGGACACCTCCACTTCGTGCCACACGGGTGCGGCGGTGGATTTTAGTTGTACGTGTCGGTCGCACGCCGGCGAGCGGAGGCGAGCAGATTGAGGCCGCCGCTGACGTGCCATGCTGTGCTGGAAGCGGCGGCGAGAGGCGCTGACTTTGGTCGGAAGGCCCCGCGCGCGTCACGGACCAGAGGCCTGTTGAATTGGCAGATTGCCAGCCATCGTGTACATGAATTTCTTCAGCAGGCCGTGTGGGCAATGTGTATACGTGTTTATGGACACACGACTACACCTATTGTGTTGGCCTCCGGTCAATGCCGCCGATCTGGGGTGTTCCGGATGATGATGATGATGATGATGATGATGATGATGATGATGATGATGATGATGATGATGATGATGTTGATGCTGATGCTGATGCTGATGCTGATGCTGATGCTGATGCTGATGCTGATGCTGATGCTGATGCTGATGCTGATGCTGATGCTGATGCTGATGCTGATGCTGATGCTGATGCTGATGCTGGTGATGGTGATGGTGATGGTGATGGTGATGGACATGGTGATGGTGATGGTGATGGTGATGGTGATGGTGATGGTGATGGTGATGGTGATGGTGATGGTGATGGTGGTGATGGTGATGGTGATGGTGATGATGATGATGTTGATTTTGAAAATGATGTTGATGTTGATGATGCTGATGTTGGTGATGGTGATATTGTTGTTGATGATGACGGTGATGATGATTATGACGTTGACCATGGTGATGGTGGTGGGGATGTCGATGACGAATGGTGGTGGTGGTGACGTTGATCTCACACACATTGAACAATTCAGAGGAAACAAATACTTGTTGCCTCTCGGGGCCCTCTTGGGAAGGCTCGTGGGGCTCTTTGGGCGTCTCGAAAACTTGTCGGGCCGTCTTGGGGCCATCTTGGGCGTCTTGGACCGATCGTTCGGTGATTCGGGGCTTTCTTGAGGTTCAGCTTGGGGAGGGAGCCTGTTGAGTAATTGGGTGTTGTGTTGGAGGCGAAGACTGGTTAATAATGGGAGTTGACTTGGACACGAAAGTAGTCGAGCACAATGTTATGTTCAATAACGGCTTGGGGTGGGGAGACCTGTTGAATATAGGGTGTCGCTTTGGAGACGAGACTGTGAGATTTGGGTATTGTGTGTAGACGGAGGGGGTTGAGTAGAAGGCTATGTTCAAGCACAGTTTTGGGAGGGAGCCTGAGGAGTATAGGGTGTTGCGTTGGAGTCGAAGGCTGGTTAGTATTGGGTGCTGTGTCGTAGACGGAGGGAGTTGAGTAGAAGGATATGTTGAACCACAGCTCGGGGAGGGAGCCTGTTAAGTGTAGGGCGTTGTGTTGGAGACCAAGGAGGGTTAGTACTGGATGTTCTGTTGTAGACGGGCGGGGGTTGGAGAGGGAGCCTGTTGAGTATTGGGTGTTGTGCTGGAGGTCATCCAGGAAACACGATGTAACCCGTACACCCCCCAACCTGAACTCTCGGGTGGTCCAGTGCCTTCGGGTCGGCTTGGGGTGACTTGGCGTGTCAGTAGTATTAGGTCGGGCATGTCCTCCTGCAGGCGGATTTCGGACGGACAAGGACACATACGCGACAAACCATCGAACATAGAAAACGTGGTCTCGTGGGAGGCGTCCAGGGGGCGTTTGGGAAGCAGTTTGTGCATCTCTTGGGAGCCTCCTGGAGGCCTCGTTGGAGCTTCGGGGCCTCTCGGAGCTCCATGGGAGCCTGTTGGGGGCTGCTTAGGGCAGCCCAGCGGCGGTCAGGGTCGAAGGCTGGAAATGTCCGTTTGGGTTCCCCCCTTTGGATCCCCTCTTGGGGCTGTTCTGCAGCACCCCTCGGCCGTCTTGGGTGCTTCTTGAGCGGTCTTGGGGCCCTCTTGTGTCGTCTGAGGGCCCTCTTGCGGGCCTCTTTGGCCGTCTTGGAGCGATTCAGGAGCTTGGGCTGTCGTGGACGCTGTGAACGCACAAGATGCGAATGAGCTACAAATGTACGCTGTCCCATGGGAATCGGACGATGTTTCCTCTTTGAGGCCGTCTTGGGGCGCCTGTTGAGGGCTTCTTGGGGCGTCTGAGGGGCCTCTTGGGCCGTCTGGGGCTCAGCGTGGGCGTGTTGGATCGATCTTTCACTTTCGTCGGCTCGTGGCCCTCTTGGACCGTCTGGAGGGCCTCTTGGTGCCCTCTTGACTTGTTTAAGGCCCTCCGTCCCCCCGTGGCGCGTTCTAACCCCCCCCGGGATACCCCCCCCTCCAAATCGACCGGACCAACCTCCTGGGTGAGGGGCTTGGGGAGGGTGAATCATGTCACACGCTGATGAACCTTCAAGGGGTCGGCAGATCTCCCGACTTGGCTGCCGAACTCCGCCGATCCGATGCATGCCGATCGTCGATCCGACTTATCGATTCGATTCTGGTTTCTCCTACCCACCACGAGGTGTCCCCCACTCGTTGCCCTGCAGAGGACGGGAGTGGAGGAGCTCCCAGGCCGCACCGGGGCCGCCGAGAGCGCTGCCACACGAGCGCCGCACTGGTCTTTGGCGGCGCCCGCGAGGGGCCTGCGCGAGGGGGGCAAGCTTGCGGAGGAGTCGGCGAGGCTTCCTGAGGGCAGGCGGGCGGCACGGAGGCCCGTCCGGCGTCTGAGAGCCCCTCTCGAAAGCCTCATTGGGGTCTCCTCAGCAGCCCTTGCCGTCTGTTAGGCCTCTCCTTACCAGCCTCGAACGTATCCCTGTCCCTAAGATTGACACGCCAGAAGGCGATGACAATCTCAGGGATTCGCCCTCAAAAGATAAGGGAATCCCTAAGATTGGCATCGTGATGAGGAGGTGCCCAGCGTAGGGATAGGGATATGTTCCAGGCTGGCAATATCCGCCATCTTCTGGTGAGCCTTGCCCCCTCCCTCCCGTTCTCCCTCGGAGTCCGATACCCCAGCGTCCATGGCTTTCGGGTCATAACTCGGCTCTCGGGCGGCCGTCCAGGACGATCCCGGCACCCCCAGACCTCCCGCGGCGAGGCGCAGCTGCTGGCAGGCATCCCGGGGCCGGCAGTCCGCCGAGAGCCGACGAGCACGTCCGAAAACCTCTTTGCGGCACCGCTCGTGACGCCCCCCCCCTTCGCGCCCCCCCCCCCGACGGGCGTCGCCGCCACGTGCTTTTTCCCAATCGCGGCGCCCGGGGTCCTCTGCGCGCGGGGGCGGCGCGGCCGCCCGCGCCGCGCGCAGCCCCTGCCTCTGCCGCAGGGCGCTCTGGTTCTCGGCACGCACGAGATGGGTACGGAAAGAAGGGGTACAATGCCCCACAGCAGATCCTGCTCATTTTGCACAGGACTCGCTGTCCACGCCGCCGCGGCCTGTGTCCACTCGAGACAGAAGGCCGCCTGCCCAGCAGCGGCCGCTGTTGGTTTGCGAGAACATTTGTTGTTGGGCATTGTACCCATTTTTCCGTACCCATTTCGGGCGTCCAAAGGTTCGGGGACAAGCATCAGGGGCAACGATGAAGTCGGGCGTGCCCCTCTGCAGGAGGACTACTCAAAAAATAGCCCCAAAAATCGTCTCGGGACTATACTCTGTTTGAGTATTCGTCGAATCTGTTTAATTTGTCATCCAAAATCCGCCCGTAGGGGGCATGCCCGACCTAACGACAAGGGGGGGACAGGCATATGTGGGGACGCATCGTCCCCCCATCGCCCACTGATCGACGCTAGGTGCCCGATAGCCCCAACCTGCCTAGGAGCGTGCGGATTCACTATCGGGGGCCTATCAATCCTATCGGCGATGTATCGCCGATTCCGGGCTGGTGTGTCCCCCCCCTGTGCCAGTGCGCCCCAATCGTCGCTCCTCATCGTGAGACTCGAGTGCGCCAGAACTCGGGGTTGCCGGCGCCTTCGGACGAGCGCGTCCTGGATTGTGACGGTCCAGTTGTCGTGGGACGCTTGCAGCGGGAGCCCGCGTCCAATTGACAGACCGGGCCTCGCCATGTGCATGATGGACCAGTCGGGCCAGCCCGAGTCCCCTGGACCCGAGTCTTACTCGGGCCAGGCGAAAGGGGGGGATTGGGAAGGGGGGGGGGGTCGAAATTTGCTGCATGCAGCTGGTTTCGGCCTTACCGAGGGGCCCATTCCTCGATACATCGCCGCCTCCGGCGCCTCGGAGGCGCCGGGAAAGTCAGCTACGTGAGCTGATTCTCAAACCCCCCTGTGCTATCCCCCCCTTTCGCCCGACCCGACCGAGTCCCCCGGACCCGAGTCTCACGTCTCCCCGAGTGGTGGAGCTCCAGAAAGGTTGGGCGCGGGCTGCCGCCGCGGCCCTCCGGGAGGCGGCCGCGGTCGGGACTGGCCGCCGCAGGGGGGGCTCCGGAGCAGCGACGGTCCGGAGGGAAAAACAACACACAGACACAATTGATCGTCGATTCCCCGGAAAATATGGGAAAATATGGGAAGTGGAGGGGAAGACGAAAACCCAGAAAATATAGGAAAACATGGGGTATCTGTTTTTTTGTGTGTATATCTATTTGTGTGTCCTGGGGCCCCTTCAGACGGGGCGTTCGAGGTTCGATGATGCCCTCGGACGTTCTCTTCGGTCCTCGGCGGCTTTCTGGCCGCGGGGTGCCTTGCAGCGGGTGCGCCTCGCCGAGAGTTCGGGGGCGAAGAGCGGCATAGACTCCACTTCTCCGCCGTCGGGGTCGCCTGCCCCCTGGGCGGCTGGAACTTACCAGCCTGGAACATATCCCTATCCCAATTCTGGGCATCTCCTCATCACGATGCCATCTTAGGGATTCCCTTATTTTTTGAGAGCGCATCCCTAAGATTGTCATCGCCTTTTGGCGTGTCAATCTTAGGGATAGGGATAAGTTCGCGGCTGGAACGTCTATACCCTCACGGTGGCGCGTCAGGGTGTAGACGTTCAAGCCTGCCTTGGGGCGGGCGTCCCCGAGGGCGGAGAAGTTTTTTTCATATTGTTTTTCGCCGGAGGTGGATAGACCTCCTGCCCTGGCACGTCGATCAGTGAATTTGCCGTTTTCGGTTCGCGAGAGGGCGTCGCGGCCGTTCAGATGCGTCGGTTTCGGTCCCACGTCCGTCGGTCTCGGTTGCGGGTCCTACGTCCTAGGTCTAGGTCCGTCGGTTTCGGTGCTAGGTCCGTCGGTTTCGGTCCTATGTCCGTCTGTCCTGGGTCCGTTGCGGGTCCAGGTCCGTCGGTTTCGGTCCCAGGCCGTTTCACTACAGGGAGGTGTAAGAAAGGGAGGTCTGTCCACCGCCGATTTCGCCCGCTGCGAGAGGAGGGGCCCGGATCGTCCCCAGCTGCCGCCGGAGAGCCGAGCGGTGGTGCGAGAACCGAGAGGCCACGACGCGGGGGGATAGGCACAGGGTGGGGGGGGGCATCGACCCCCAATCGTCGGAGGTGGATAGACCTCCTACCCTGACATGTCGATTAAGGAATTGGCCGTTGTTGGTTCGCGAGAGGGCGTCGCGGCCGTCATTTTTGCGGGTCCAGGCCCGTCGGTTTCGGTCCCAGGCCGCTTTCACTAAGGGGAGGTTTACTAAAGGGAGGTTTGTCCACCGCCGAAATCGCCTATTGATTGCCGATAGGGGCCCGACAGCCCAAACCTGGTCAGGAACGTGCGGATTGGTCATGGAGAGGCGATCGCCGATCTGTCGGCGCTGTGTTGCCGATTCCAGGTCGATGCTCCCCGCCCCCCTGTGCCAATTTCCTATCGCTGCCCCTCAGGGGCACGGACGGCCAACCTTGAAGCAATGGCGATGCGTCTTGCCTTCCCTAAAGGCCCACCAGAGAGTGTTCGAAGAGCCTGTCGTGTTTTCCACGATCTGTTCTTATAACCGTTCTGTTGGGGACAGCCTTGTCTTGATCAAGCGCTTGTGTCTACCGAGCAAGTCGTCTCTGTTCGCAGGACGCGCTTCCGTTCTAGGAAAATGTCGTGGCAGGCTTACAGGAAAGCTGGGATCGGTCCTTGGCCAGAATTTGTTCCTCGCCTCCCCTCGCCTCCCCCCGAGGAGTACCATGTACCGATAATTAGTCACGAACGAACAACACGCACCCATACCCATAGGGGGGTCGTTGGGAGGAGGACTGGCTATGGGTATGGGTGCGGGTTGTCGGACCCTTGGGAACGCTCCCGTTCGAGCGGGGACCCCCAGTCGACAACGCGCACCCACAGCCCTCTCCGACCCACCCATGGGTATGGGTGTGTGTTGTTGGTTCGTCAATTAGTGCTTGGCGCTACCCTTGCCTCGTCTTCGCCTCGTGGGGCCTCCTCGGGAGGTCCTCGTCGCCACAGCCCGGCTCGCCCCGGACTGCTGGCCAGGGTGGGCTCCCGGGAGAGGTCCAGGGTATAACCGTACAGTCAGGGGGCCACATGCGAACCCTACCCCTGCCCCCCACGATTGCTGAGGGGGAGGGTGGGCTTCACTTCGCTCAGGAGCTCCCGAACAAAGTGAACCCCACCCTCCCCCTCAGAAATCGTGGGAGGTAGGGGTGGGGTTCACATCTGGCCCCCGAGCAGTAGAAGCCCATGCCAAGGAAAACCTTGCTTGCCTCTGGGGTGCCCTGGGTTTCTTCTTGGGTTTCGATGATTTCTGTGACGGTGGAAAGCGCGACGTTCCCACGCTAAAAATCCATGGGCGTCCCGGGGTCTCAGGGTCGGGTTTCTTGTGGAAGGCGTCTCGTGGATTGGCCCCCACTGTATCGGTATGTTGTTGTCCTCCTACTCCTGCTTCCCTCGCTTCCTTCCTCCCTCGTCTCCTCCCGTCCCCTGCCTCGCCCCGCCTCCTCCTCCTCCGCCTCCGCCTCCTCCTACTACTCCTCCTGCTCCTCTTCCTCATCCTCCTTCTCCTCCTCCTCCTCCTGCTCCTCTTACTCATCCTCCTTCTCCTCCTCCTGCTCCTCTTCCTCCTCCTCCTTCTCCTCCTCCTCCTCCTCCTCCTCCTCCTCCTCCCCCTTGCCTCCTCCCTTCTCCCCTCCCTGCCCTCCTCCCTCGCCTGCTCCCCTCCTCCCTCGCACCCTGCCCTCTCTGCTCCTCCCTCCCTCCTCCCCTCCTCCCCCGACCACTGCCCGGCACTGTTTTGGGACTTGGGTTGTTCTTTGACGGTGTTCCGGGCAGCCGGGGGCCTCCGGGGTCCCAAAACAGTGGTGACGGACCGTGCGGTGAGGTCTCTCCGGATTTCGAGGTCGCCGCACGGCCTGTCACCGCACGGTTTCGGGACCGCCAGTCGTGCTTCTCTCGCCTCCCTCATCCCCTGTTTGCTCATCCCCCCCCCCTCCTCCCCCGACCACTGCTGACTACGGGGCATGAGCATGGCTCTCCCTTCCCCCCGGTCTAAGTCGGGCCTGTCCCATTACAGGAGGATCATTCAAAAATCGTAAAACAGTGGTTAGGGAACGTTTTGTTGCTGTTGTTTTTCATACAAAGATATCTGAGTATATGTTGGAATGGTTTCTATGTTTCGACTAAAACCCGCGTGTAGAGGGACACGCCCGAGCTAACCCTGGTCATGTCCAGTGCGGGGCGCCACCTCTCCAGTCCAGTGTTTGCTCACGCATATGGTCTCATTTGCTTGGCTCTCCCATGTGTGTTTCCCACTCGGGTCGGATTTTGCCGTCCGTGCTAGATCATTACCCCGGAGTCCATGTATCAGCGGCGAGCGAAGGGGGGAAGTCACAAGGAGAAGGCCTTCTCAGAAGGCGGTGTGGCTTCTCAGAAGGCATCCAGCCTTTGAGAGGTTTTCTGTGCCTTCGGGGAAGGCTCAGACCTCCTTGCTCCTCGCTCCTCCTACACCTCCTCCTCGGCCCTCCTCGCTCCTCCTCCTCCTCCTCGTCCTCCTCCTCGCTCCTCATCTGTGCTCCTCGTCCTTCTCCTCGCTCCTCCTCCTCGCACCTTCGGGCTCCTAGGTCTCGCTCTTCTTCCTCCTCCTCCTCCTCCTCCTCCTCCTCCTCCTCCTCCTCCTGCCCGCTTCTCGCTCCTCCTCCCCGCTCCTTCCCCCCCCCCGCTCCTCCCGGAGTGGCCAATCCGACCGCGGCCCGAGAGAGCCAGGGGGGGGCGCGGCGCAGCATTTGAACGTCGAAGCGGGCCACCGCCTGCCCACCGGGAGCTCGGCGCCGCAGCGCTGCTGTGTGGTTGTTTGCTCTGTGCCTTGTATAACAAAGTTGTGATGAGTTGTAACAGAGATACACATTCTCCTCCGCATCTACATCTACAGAACAGATATATCACTTCTATAAGTGCTCGTAAATTCACAACTTTGCATAACTTTTCATAACTTTTCATAACTTTCTCAGCTGGGTAAGGCAGGGGTTCTTATGTCCGCCCCCATGCCCCGTGCACGGGCCCAGGGAAATTGTCCTCGTTGTCAAAAATGCGCTCTCGCCTTTGGTGTTTCTCGCAGCGGGGGAACAAACGGTTTTCAAAATCGCGCTCTCGCCTCAGACTCATTCGCACCGCAAGCTCCTGCAGACAGGCGGGAAGCGGCGTCGGCCCACTCGGAATGAGAGGAGGTGGGGGGGGGGGGAAAGGAGGGTTCAACGTCGGCGACGGCGACGACGACAACGGCGGCGGCGACGGCAGCGCTGCGCCTCCGCACTCCCGCGCTCGGGGGCCGCCCCCCACCCCCCTGAACTCGCGGGGCGAGCTGAAGGGGAGGGGAGGGGTGGGGAAGAGAGAAGAAGGAAGGAAGGAACATGGAATATTTGACAAAGAAGGATAAGGAAGATGAGAAAAGGCTGAAGGCTGAGGACGAGGTCGAGAAATAAGAAGATGAGGAAGAAGCATTATCAAGACGGGGAGGAGTAGGAGGAGGAGGGAAGGGGGAGAGGGAGGGGGGGGAAGGGGAGGCGAGCGGGGAGTGAGGGGGGAGGAGGGAGGGAAAGGGGAGGGGAGGAGGTAGGAGGGAGGGGTGGGGGACGGAGCGGGAGAAGGGAGGCGGGGGGAGGGAAAGGGGAGGGCGCCGCCGTTGTCCTCCTCCTCCTCCTCCTCCTCCTCCTTCTTCTCCTCCTCCTCCTCCTTCTCCTTCTCCTTCTCCTTCTCCTTCTCCTCCTCTCCTCCTCCTACGTAGTCATACGTACTATTCCTCCTCCTTATCCTTCTCCTCCTTTTCCTCCTCCTTCTCCTCCTCCTCCTCCTCCTCCTCCTCCTCCTACGTGCTCTTCCTGCTCCTCCTCCTCCTCCTCCTCCTCCTCCTCTTCCTCCCCCTCCTCCTCCTTCTCCTCCTCGGGCTTCTCCTTCTCCTCCTTATCATTATCCTTCTCCTCCTCCTTCCCCTTCTCCTCATCATCCTTCTTCTCCTCCTCCTCCTTCTCCTACGTACTCCTACGTACTCCTCCTCCTCCTTTTCCTCCTCACCCTCCTCCTCCTCCTTTTCCTCCTTCTCCTTATCATCCTCCTTCTCCTTCTCCTCCTCCTTCTCCTCCTCCTTCTCCTCCTACGTGCTCCTCCTTCTCCTTCTCCTTCTCCTCCTCCTCTTCCTCCTCCTACGTGCTCCTCCTCCTCCTTCTCATCCTCATCCTTATCCTTCTCCTCCTCCTTCTCCTACTCCTCCTACTCCTCCTTCTCCTCCTCCTTCTCCTCCTCCTTCTCCTTCTTCTCCTACTCCTACTTCTTCTCCTACTTCTCCTTCTACTCTTCCCTCTCCTACGTACTCCTACATGCTCATACATGCTCCGCCTCCTCCTTCTCCTTCGTCTCCTCCTCTTCCTCCTCCTCCTCCTCCTCCTCCTCCTCCTCATCACTCCCTCATTCCGCCTTCTCCTCATTCGGCCACACGAGCGCGATGGGTCCGACGGGGGGGGGCGAGGGCCACCTATGGGGGTGAACGGGGAGACCAGTGAGAGGGGCACGAGGGCAGCTGGAAAAGGCACGGGAGCAGGAGCAGGATGTCCTCCCCCCCCCTCAGCATCACCTCCTTCTCCTCCTCCTCCCCCCCCTCATCCCCCCTTCATTCCCATCGCCACCGCCCTCCGAATCGCCAGCGCGCAGATAACACAAGCACCCGTGCAGCGGGCGTCGGTTGATCGGGACATCCGAGAGGACGCGAGACTGCTCCGATGGCATCATGGCCCAGAGAAGCGAAATGGCATGGTACGGGGGCGCCCTTGCATTTGCAGGGTCGACCTACCGATCAACGCCGACTGTGCCCTATCTGCCTTCTCCCCCTTCTCTTCCACCCCCACCCTCGCACTGTTCCACCTCGGCGCCGTCGGTGGCACCACACGCGTGCCCTGACGCCAGTAAGCGGGATTAGATACACCATAAGGATAAGCATATTGCTGGAGGAGAGAGGCGCGGGCAAGCCATAAAACAAAACTTGGCACTAGGTGATGTGGCAGAGCCTCCAATCTACATCGGAGCAGATCTGCGGCTCTATCTGATGGGGCAGAGCCTCCTTTGCTATGAGCCGTCCCCCGATGCGTTGCACCAAGCTGCATAGAAACGACATGGTTCAGACTGGCTGCTCCAGACCGCCCGAGCGGTAGGTGTAGCTCTCAGTGCCATCCCGCCCGCCTGACCCTCTCTCCCCCCTTCATTCACGTTGCTGCATGCGCGGGCTCACCTGCTCACGAACTCTACAACCTGCTTCCAGGCTGAGCGGGCGCCCTGCACCTTCCACGACATCTGTTTGTCGACCACGGTGCCTGGCGGGACGACTCGCCATGCCTGCTTGTTGATGTCTGTATATATGACATGGTCATTGTACACCATGGCTGGAACCTTTTTCGTTGGACTGCCTGGGAACGTGAGCTTTTTGACGGTGGCGGCCTTCACCACGGCCTTGTGCGCGGTCTGGCTCTCGCTCTGGCTGGCACTGGCAGCTGGGCGCTTCGCAACGACGGCCTTCGCCGCCGCTGCTGGGCGCTTGGCCACCCTGCCCTTGTTCACCGTGCTGCTCTTGCCCTTGCCCGAGCTGCCTGGCCCCGACGCCCATCCCAACCATAAAAGAAGGACGGCGGAGTGAACGAACGGGGGAGGAGGACAGGACAAGAAGCGGAGAAGGAGGAGGCCAGTATAAGAAGGATGAGGAATACGCACGGACGGACGGACTGATTGAACGGCAGGATGAGGAGGGCAGGGCGACAAACCGAACGGGAGAAGGATAGGGGAGGTGAGGAGGGGAGAGGAGAGAGCCCTGGTTTGCGGACCCTTGGCCGACGATTTCCACCATCGTTTAAACTTGTATGTGTGTGTCCCCATATCCTAAGATGGGGTTATTGTTTTTACCTGGACGCCTCCTACTGCCTCTTCCTCCTCATCTTTCCTCCTCACCTCCTCATACTCAGACTTACTCATACTCAGACGTACTCATACTCAGACCTACTCATACTCAGACTTACGCACACTCAGAGATACTCATACACAGACTTACTCATACACAGACTTACTCACACCCAGACGTACTCATACACAGACTTACTCATACCAGACTTACTCATACACAGTATTACTCATACTCAGACTTACTCATACCCAGACGTACACATACACAGACTTTCTCATACACAGACCTACTCATACCCAGACTTACTCATACACAGACTTACCCATACACAGACTTACTCATACTCAGGCATACCCATACCCAGACTTTTACCTGGACGCCTCCTACTGCCTCTTCCTCCTCATCTTTCCTCCTCACCTCCTCATACTCAGACTTACTCATACTCAGACGTACTCATACCCAGACGTACACATACACAGACTTTCTCATACACAGACCTACTCATACCCAGACTTACTCATACACAGACTTACTCATACACAGACTTACTCATACTCAGGCATACCCATACTCAGACCTACTCATACTCAGACTTACTCAACACACATCAGATTTGGAGGATGTCTCAAGCGGGGCGCTGGTTTCAGCACCCCTGAGGTGAGCCGCCAGGGGTGGTTGCATGGGCTCGTTCGCTGCCATTTTGTGGGGATGTCTCAGGCGGGTTGCCTGTTTCTGGGCTCAACATCCTTCGCTTGGAGAACAGATTGTGAGGATGTCTCAGGCGGTGCGCTGGTTTCAGCACCCCTAAGGGGAGCCGCCAGGGGTGGTTGCACGGGCTCGGTCGCGGCCATGGTGTGGGTATGTCTCAAGCGGTTTGCCTGTTGATGGGCTCAACATCCTTCGCTTTGAGAGCAGATTGTGAGGATGTCTCAGGCGGTGCGCTGGTCTCAGCACCCCTGAGGGGAGCCGCCAGGGGTGGTTGCACGGGCTCGTTAGCGGCCATGCTGTAGGGATGTCTCAAGCGGTTTGCTTGTTTCTGGGCTCAACATCCTTCGCTTTCGGAGCAGAGTTGGAGGATGTCTTGAGCGAGGCGCTCATGTTCACCCCCCAGGTGGGCCAGATTTTGAGGATGTCTCAATCGGTTTGCTTGTTATGGTGGCCAGGCTCGTGGGCGCAGATTCTTCTCAGGATGCCACGGGCGGCCCCAACGGGCTCCAGGAGGCCCCAGGAGACCACATGAGGTCCCAGGAGGCATCAGGAGGCCACAGAAGGACGCAAGAGGCCACATGATGTCCCAAGAAGCTCCAGGAGGCCCCAGGGAGCTCCAGAAGGCATCAGGAAACCACAGGAGGCCCCAGGAGGCAACATGAAGCGCCAGGAGGCCTCGGAAGGCAACAGGAGGCCCCGAGAGGCACCAGGAGCAGGAGGCCTCAGAAGGCAACAGGAGTGGCTCCAATCCCATGTGTTTTACGTATGATCATATCGATTGGGCCTCACCTGGAGCACGGTTATTTGATGTGCTACGTATGATTCTATGTGTGGTCCTTCTCATGTGTACACAATTCTAAATGTTTTACTCATGCTCCTATGTATTGGGCCTCTCCTGGGTCACGAGTCCTTCGTGTTTCACGCGTGTTCCTATAGAGTGCCCTTCCCCTGTGGCTCTAATCCGCAATGTTTTATGCACGTTTGTTGCTATAGATTGCGCATCTCCTGGGGCACGAAACCGCCCTAGGAGGTCCCAGGAGGCCCCAAGAGGCTCCTGGAGACCCCAGGAAGCCCCAGTAGGTTTCAGGAGGCCCCAGGAGGCCCCAGGCTCATGCACAGAGACGCGCTCGTACTACTGAGGCCCATCCACACTCCAACTCACTCGCAGTTAGATTGATGTCCAGACCGTCACAACTGAAGCCCGTTAATATTCGAAAGCTCTTGCGCCTAGACATTCAC